TAGCAATGGCAACTGCCTCCACCCTAAGAGCGATGGCCTCCAACCTAGGTGCTTCTGGAGTGTAGTTTTGCAAAAGCTCAGCAGCACAGTACCAGTTTGCATTCCATTTATATACTTGCTGCAAATCACCGTGTTTGTTTTTTGATAAGATTGTTTACAGTATTCGGTTCTTTGTGTCTTTATATTCTAACTGCATGTGGTCTCCAGCCTCCCCCAGGCTTCATGTAAAACCATATTGTAACTGCATTTTAAAAGAACGGATTCTAACTGTCAGTCCGCCGTAGTATTAGTTTCTTGCTCCTAGTAGCGATGTCCTTTGTTACAAGTAGCTTCTTGTTCCTACTAGATCTAGAAGTAATGCCAGGGGCTACTAGTAGCTTCTTGGGCTGCATATTCAAGACCTCATCCACCCCACCGCACCTTGGATTCAGCTGTGCCAAATGAGCGGCCTTGAAGACCTCGCGTTCTTTCCGCAAGGTCTCCACCTTGCAGTGGAGCATGGCCACCCACGCACCGCGTCGCACCGCGTCGCACCGCCTCGCACCGGGAGCCCCTAGTAGCGTAGTTGCTCCTAGTAGTAAGGCCAGGAGCCCCTAGCAGCGTCCTTGCTCCTAGTAGTAAGGCCAGGAGCCCCTAGCAGCGCCCTTGCTCCTAGTAGTAAGGCCAGGAGTCCCTAGTAGCGTCCTTGCTCCGAGTAGTAAGGCCAGGAGCCCCTAGCAGCGTCCTTGCTCCTAGTAGTAGGGCGAGGAGCCCCTAGTAGCGTCCTTGCTCCTAGTAGTAAGCCCAGGAGCCCCTAGTAGCGTCCTTGCTCCTAGTAGTAAGGCCAGAAGCCCCTAGTAGCGTCCTTGCTCCTAGTAGTAAGCCCAGGAGCCCCTAGCGGCGTCCTTGCTCCTAGTAGCAATGCCCTTTTCTCCTAGTAGCGTCCTTGCTCCTAGTAGTAAGGCCAGGAGCCCCTAGCAGCGTCCTTGCTCCTAGTAAGGCCAGGAGCCCCTAGTAGCGTCCTTGCTCCTAGTAGCGCCTAGCACCGTCCTTGCTCCTAGTAGTAAGGCCAGGAGCCCCTATAGTAGCGTCCTTGCTCCTAGTATAGCGTCCTTGCTCCTAGTAGTAAGGCCAGGAGCCCCTAGCAGCGTCCTTGCTCCTATATAGTAAGGCCAGGAGCCCCTAGCAGCGTCCTTGCTCCTAGTATTAAGGCCAGGAGCCCCTAGTAGCGTCCTTGCTCCTAGTAGCGATGCCCTTTGCTCCTAGCAGCGTCCTTGCTCCTAGTAGTAAGGCCAGGAGCCCCTAGTAGCGTCGTTGCTCCTAGTAGCGATGCCCTTTGCTCCTAGTAGCGTCCTTGCTCCTAGTAGTAAGGCCAGGAGCCCCTAGCAGCGTCCTTGCTCCTAGTAGTAAGCCCAGGAGCCCCTAGTAGCGTCGTTGCTCCTAGTAGCGATGCCCTTTGCTCCTAGTAGCGTCCTTGCTCCTAGTAGTAAGGCCAGGAGCGCCTAGCGTCCTTGCTCCTAGTAGTAAGGCCAGGAGCCCCTAGTAGCGTCCTTGCTCCTAGTAGCGATGCCCTTTGCTCCTAGTAGCGTCCTTGCTCCTAGTAGCGATGCCAGGAGCCCCTATAGTAGCGTCCTTGCTCCTAGTAGTAAGGCCAGGAGCCCCTAGTAGCGTCCGTCGCGCGTCTGAGCACCTGGCAGGAATGCGGTCAATGTCCAGAAATCGAGGCTGGGCCGCCACGATGTGTCTGGCCTCCGTCGGCGTCGGCGATCATTAAAACCTCTGTCAGTGGAGACTGCTTGATGAGTATCGATGAGTCCCAATTGCCCCTTGGTCCTATTGTTTCACCAGGAGGTTCTCGACTCTTCGGACTGATGCACATGGTTGTCTTAATTGTTTGGTCATGCTGGATCGATTCTCTTCATATTCATTTCATGGATTGCTCAGCCAATGAACATTTGGAATCATTCCAAACTGGGGGTCCACGCCAAACGGCTGGCCATTGCTCGGAAGCCATCAGCGCTGCTATGACTTGGTGCGGAGTGACATGTCCAACAAAGTATCAAATACTGGCATTTCATTGGGGAGGCAAAACCAGTGACTTGAGCAGATTGAGGGGAACTGTACAAGCTGAGGATTTCCGGTGCCGAACCTGTCGGGTGATCTGACAGAGACCAAGCCAGCCATGCGGCCAGTGCCCCGCATGCTATCCGCCTTGGATCATCACAAGGCCATGAGGGTACGCGAGGTATATAAACACTAGCGATTTCAGATGAGTTCGTCACTGATTTCGGATGCACATAGCCTGCCACAATCCCACCAGGTCGAGGGGAGAGAACATGAACCTTGGTACAATGAGACTCCCGACGTTCGACTCACTTGGCAATCAGCCAAGGCTGGCACGTTTCCAAGGACCAGCTTCTCTCCCAAGACCTCTGACCATGACTTTTATGACTGAAGTGCAGGACTCAGGGTACAAAAGCTCACAGAAATCTTAACCATCAGAGTCACGGTGTCAGTGAATCCGCACCGTCTTTTCCCGTCACTTGGCAGGTTTGCCAATCCCCCTGTGAACGACTGAAATGAGGCAAGGCGCTGAGGCGCCAGGCATTCAAAGTCTCAGTCTACCCCAACCGGAGTCCTCCGGTCACACGCATTCGGGAACCACCTCCCGATAGGAGCGGGTGTACGGCTCAAACACAAGATGCCCCACTCCAATTTGTCCGGATTCCCCATTGCGGACTTTGCACACATGGATCTCCAAAGGTCGAGTGGAGCCTTCGTTTGGATCCTTGTTTGGCCTTCGCAAAAGAATGCCTTTGTCGCATTTATTGTTCCAATGAGCTGAGCCCTGCAAGTCGTAGAGCGAGGGTCCATCGAAGGTGTTTTGATTTCCGTCTTTTTGCTTCTGCTGCGATCCTTTGGTTGGGTGCACCACGATCCAAACGCAAACTTGGTACTTCTTGGCAAACTGCTGCAGCTGGGTCATGTAGCTGCTCACCAATTCGGTTTCTCTCTGTGGCACTTGGCTCCAAGGCTTTGAGATGTAATTGTACGGATCGATAATGAGATTGTGCAACCTGCCCTCCTCAGCAAGCTCTCTTGCACGGCTTAGAATCGTGCTCAAGTCTAGTTCAGACGAGAAATCACACACTGACTGAAAGTGCTGGTTGATCCATGCAACATCTTCCGAATCCTCCTGGAAACTGTCTGCGGACATTTCCTCAACGTTCTTTGCGAGTTTCTTCTCCAGGAGTTGCAGAAGCAATTGGTCGTTTTTGTGTTCAAACGAGCACAGCCCAGCTTTCCAGCCGTGTGTTTTTGCAAGGTTGACCGCCACTGACAAAAGGAATTCACTCTTGCCACTGCCAGGCTGTCCACTGACTACAATGACCTCCCCGCGTACAGGACGCAAGAATTGGTCCAAGTTCCGGTACCCCGTGGAGACGCCGGTGTCAAACTCCTCTGAACGGTCTCCACGTCGATATTTTGCCACGGCCTCGCTTTGCTCCCTGAGCCTTTGCCGCGCGAGCCGCCGCGCGAGTCGCCGTGCGCCCGCGCGCGACCGTGGGGAAACAGCCGCTGACAAGCTCAGGGGCACCAGCAGTGGCGAGACGGCCGCAGCAGCGCCGGCACCAGAGGGGCGAGACCGGTCTGATGGACAAGGCGGCGCTGGGACGCGATGGAGCAGGGCAGGGACCCCACAGAAAGGGAGGTGAAGGCCCATGGCGTGAACTCAAACTCCCTGGAGATCGTGGTGGCTGCAGCCTCCAGCCTAAAAGCCAACATCCAAACTCCATGTGTGTTTCCACTCCGGGCAAAGTGCTATTGCAGACTTGCACGTCCAGCTACTTGCACACGCCCGCTTCGTGAAGAAACATCCAACTCAGGGCCGAGCGCTTCCAAGCTCCAAGAGTGCCTCAGAAAGCGTTGCACCAGCTCGCAGCTGCCTCATGTGGCTCAAGAGGACACGTGCAATCAGGATCGTGCGCGGGTAGCGAGCTTCGGGCGCAGGTCTTTCAGGTCCATCTGGAATTGTCATATCCAGAGCCTGACGGAACTTGTGGCCAAAGGCACCAAAAGGTTTCAAAAGGCAAACACAGCTTCTCACGCACCTGATCTTTGGCAGCATCTGGGGATGCTGCCATCATGTGGGCAAGGTGTCGCAATGTCCTTGGAATCAAAGAAACGACAAGGTCAGAGGTACGAGTACCCTTCGAACAAGCAGAGGCTTGCAGCATCGAGGGGTCTCCGAGTGCATCAGCAAGGTATACTTCCATACCTTGCGGGGCCTTTTGGCACGTTGGCACTACGGATCTTCCGCTGGCCTTTCTTGTTTTCAGGTTTTTAAGGGAGTATGCGCCCAGATGTGTTTTGGAATTGGAAGAATCTGCGAAGTGCCAGGGTTTGTGTTGCCACGCCCTCGTCACCGCCAAGCAGCTGCTGAAAAACTTCGCTCCTTGTCACGAAGTCGGTCTCTGCCTGGACAACAAGATACTGTTCTCTTTGCAAACACTCTTCCTAGTATAGGAACTACTAGTAGCTTCTTGTTCCTAGTAGCAATGCCAGGAGCCCCTAGTAGCGTCCTTGCTCCTAGTAGTAAGGCCAGGAGCCCCTAGTAGCGTCCTTGTTTCTGTTCCTAGCCTCAAAAACATACTGTAAATAAAGTACTCAAAAGAAAATCTGATGAACATGCATTTAGTCATGAGTGTTTGCCAACAGAATCTCAGGCTCCAGCTCTCAGCTCCACAATTGCTCCAGCTTCTGCTAAACCCAAGGAGAGCAGGGCCTGCCCAAGTTTAGCTTTCACCCTTTGGCCATGGGTCTCCACTGGAAGCACCACAAAGCCAGCAAGAGATCGGCCCGGGAGTCCGGCTTCGTCGGAGTCGGCCGCACGCTTCTCCATGGATCGCAAGCCTCGCTTCTTCAGCCAAACCACCGCCTGACAACGATCTTCTGCAAGGGGTTTTGAATCTGCATGGGGTTTTGAAGATGTCAAGCAAGCCGCGCAAGATTAAGGAAATTCCACCAAGTCTTGCTTCTAGACTACAAGTAGGACTAGGCCGTGATTGATGCTCACTCGTCTCCTACAACCTATCTATGTAACATGGTTACTCACAAGCCACATCCGAATTGTACCTTCTCCAAATCGCCTTCCTCCTTCAGTGCTTCCCGGCACCTGTTTTCGCAAGACAAATAGCACCAATGCTGTGGGCGGTGGCAATTCTGAGGCAGTGGCTTGCCTGGCGCGAAGCGCGCGAAGCCGGCCGGTTCAGGAACTTTCTTTGCACAGAACTTTCAAGTCACAAGTCGGCCAGGAAGACCCATGGAAGCACCTGTTCTATCTCTCAGCTCCTGTCCCATCAAAGCCAATACTACTGCAGCGAATACGTTTTGTGTCACGGTTTTGGAAGCAAAGCCATGAGGGCACAATCTGGCCTTCACTTGCGCAGCAGAAACTGCCAGGAATCTTCTTTGCCCAAGAAGCACCTGGAATCTTCGTGGTGATAAACGTTCGCCCCTGGAATCATCCCACCCAGCTCCGCTGTCTGGCCTTTGAGCTCTGGGACACGCCCCATGTCACTTGCCTTCAACGATCCGCGCGAGAGTGTTAGTGCTGAATCATCACTCGTGCCTCTGCAAAGGCAAAGAAGCTAGCTGACCCAGTCGACCTGAGTTTGCATGGTTTGTGATACTGCGCCTTGCCAAAAAGACTTTGGAACCCTAGATTCTCTAGATCTCGAAGCACTGAGGCTGCAGCGCATCACAGAGTCTCAGATGAATGTCATGTGAGCAGTGGGACATGATTGGGAACAGTCAGCCCCTTTGTCGTGTTTTCATCAACTCGGTGCCCCACCTTACTGCGCACGTGACCGGGGCGCCGCGTGTTTACACTTCTACACAGCGCTGAGCATGAAGAGCCAACACGAAATGAAACACCATGCGGTTCCGCTTTCCGTGTCCTCCCAATAGGCACTTAAAAACTAGTCTAGAGTCTATATATATATATATATCATCAATGTATTGCGGTGTCATCAAGATCCTAACTGCAGCTAACTGCTTCCCATTTCGTTTCACCAGGTGCACGGAAATGAAAGAAGATGTGATTGAAGTCTTTCCCGCCCCCATGCCTTGTTGGTATTACCAAAAAAAAGAAACGGTCTAAAATCCCAAGATGCTGTACCAACGCATAAGGGCAAAGTCAACAACTTCCAATCAAAATCATGAAGGTCGCAGCCTTTTGCCTTTGGCTTTTGGATGGTTCACCCTCGACGACACAATGGGCCGCTCGGGTTCCGGCGTCACTGCACGAGAGCTCAGTTGCTTGTCCGGGTTCGCTGAAGAGACACACTCCTCCTCTGTCCTGGTCTTCGAATTGGAGAAACCTCAGGCCAACTCAGGTTGCTGGAGTAAGCAAAATGGTCGGATCAGCAAACACACAATGACCGGCTATTGAAGTGTCAGGCTTGACGCTGGCAAGACACTCAAGTCGTGCTCACTTCCTCTGCCGAGCAATTTCTCTCCCTCGTTGCTCTGCCTTGTCCTCCTCTGACCTCTGCAATGCCAGCAATGAATGATGCAAAACTCTTAAAACCTTCTTCCGAGGATGCGGCATGCCCTTGTTCTTGCCTTTGCCCTTGCCCTTGCCCTTCTTGCCTTTCCCTTTTCCCTGGAATCAAGGTCTGCTTTTAGAGGTTTTACAGCAATCATGTATGCGGCAATAATTCACTAGTAACAAGTGCATCGCTACTAGTAACAAGGGCATTACTACAAGTAACAAAAAGCTACTAGTAGCGACGCCCTTCTTCCTAGTAGCGATGCCCTTGTTACTAGTAGCGATGCATTTGTTCGCACCTTGCCCTTTCCGGGACTCCGTCGGAAGAAGTTCTTGCCAGTCTTCGAGACGGCGTGCGCGCTGAAGACTTCCTCCGCCCGTCTCCAATGTCACGGAATGCACCAATTTTTTACACGCCCGTTCACCCAAGGCATCCAAGGTTCATCGCAAACCAAGCACCCCTGGCCAATTCAAATTCCACAAGCCCAAGAAAAGAGAAGCTGAACAACCCTTCCCAGAGGATAGACTGTCACTTATTTATAAGTGAAAGCTATTAGGTTGAAGGCCATTGCTATTAGGTTGGAGGTCATTGCTACTAGGTTGGAGGCCATCGCTGTTAGATATCATCCAGCTTCACCTTCATTGCCATTCTGTTAGATTCTGTTTAACAATGTTATGAATGAAAACTTGAAGATTGTCGCAATGAGTCGCGCTCTGCTGCCTTCATCTCCAGCTGGCCATCGGGAAGTGGGGACTTCCCCTTGTTAAAAACGACTTCCAACAGCACAGAGGAGCACCTGGTGGCCAACACCAGCTGGAACGTTGCAGGACTGGGAAGACTTCTGTCATTTGGACACCTACAAGAAGACTGCACTGGGATGCGGTCTGCCAAGGAACTCCTCGCAGTAGTCCGAGGTCGCCTTGATCTTGTGCGCCTGCAAACAACAACCAATTGATATCCACGAAAGGGATGCGAAAGGTGCGGGCCTTGTCCTCGAAAATTGAAAGCTGCTGCAAACCTCGCCGTCATGACATGGCACATTGCGATGCAAAAGAGGAGACTGCGATCATGCGATATGTCACTGAGCTAGCGACAAACATTGCAATCCATTTGCCACTTTGGTCCGGAGTCTACATCAAGGCAAAGCGTGCCGGAGCAGTGGTCAGCGAAGCAGTCCATGACCTCAGAAATGTGCTCGAGCAAAACGCGAGCTGCAATGCGCGAAGGAAGGATCTATAAAAATAATCAGGCTGGATGGTCAAACATGAATTCAGCTTTTGATAGATGGTCAAACCAAATAATATATGCTTGGTCAAACATCAACCAACCAATCATTCTATTAAGTCTATGTTCACGGAGTGTGTCCTTGATGAGTTCTCAATCAAGCACTTGAATCTCAGAATCTGAGCCAAGACTCCGCAGGCCGATACTTTTTGTAGATGGGATGGTCCAAGTTCCAGTGCTTTCCTTGCCTTGGAATGACTTCATTGGGTCTTTTGATGTCGGCATGGACAAACGAGCTCATGTTGATATGCTTCTCAGGTGCTCCTCTTTTTCGCCGTAAGGTGGAGTATCATAGCACTTCGGGCAAATTGGATAGCTCTTACCCACCTCGACTGGTGGTGTCAATTCGTGGCAAAATGAGCATGCATGCAATCAATCTAGCCTTGTTTGCCACGAAGACTAGCCTTGGCAAGCAGGACACAAGGTTGAAAACAGGATGCATGTGCATGCAAGCTCTGTGCTGTAGACGCAATCAGTGAGAATCATACCACTGCAGACAAAGGAGCTCAAAGTTGTCAAGAGGACACTTCAACTCTTTGTACAGTTTCATCTGCCCATTCTGCGGCATCTTGAAGATGCGGTTGCACCTAACGGAGAAATCGCTTCCAACACAAAAGCAACAGCACGAACATCAGCCAGGGCGCGTCTTGCAGAACATCCGAACTGGCTTGCGATCGACCACTGCCAAATACCTGCGTTGGATCTACACTCTCGACACGTGATGCCCAACAGATCGAGCCTTTGACAATCACCACATCTTGAAAGAGGTCTCCCAGATGCCTCACAAGCTCAAAAGGTCAGGTTCAACAGCGCGAGGAAAAGCACCTACCAAACCACAAAGCACATATACGGGCACACCTACCCGCCAAGCCCTTTTTTGTGCCCACACTCCATAGACTTTAGGAGGAATATGGGAGTATGCAGTATGCAGCCCAGAAATAAAACACGATGAAATCGGTCGTTTCATCACTGCCTCCAATGGTGTGAAGATGCATTGGAAGAGCTGATCGACTATATCGACATTCTTGACCTCGAGACGAGACATCCAGCGACGAGATGCTGAATACAGCATGTTACCAGGGACTCAAAACTGAATGCTGCGGAGGGTCATAGTAAATAAACTTCTCCTTGAACAAGCGCAAGCCATCTTGAATCACTCGCCATTTCTCAGCCCTACCTTCTGCTACCTTTGTGCACATGGCTTCCATATTTGCTCGAACTTTTGGAATTACCAGCTCATTGTCAACCTTCTCGTATCCATGAACCAAGGCAATTCCCAGCTGAGTTGGAATCAGGCGCCGCCCTTCTGCCAGCTGAACATAGTTCCGCTCGCAAATGTTGTTGATGTGAGTTGCCATAGATGCATCTGTACCAATCCCATGCTTCTCCATCAGGGAGAGCAAGTCAGACTCTGACAAGTATGGAGGCGGACGAGTCTTGCCAGTTCCCATAGAGACCTTCCTGATATCAACAGCCTCTCCTTTCTGAAAGTCTGGAATGACAACATCTTCCATCTCACCACTACGTTGGATAGCAGTAAAGCCAGGATCAATCACTTTGCGGCCGGAGATTGAAAAGCCTTCTCCATTGATATTGAAGTTAACGCGGATCTTTTGGAACTTGCAGTCTCGGCTTACAGTGGCCAGAAAGTGCCGAGTGATCATGTCCTGAGAACATCGGCTTGTCAATGAACATCGGTGAATGTCCATCAAACAGTGTCAAGACACTTCTGGGATACCAATGGGCAGCATAGTTTGTTGGTATATATATATATATCGGGTTTCAACACATGTGTCTGAAGTGAGAGTCCGTTTCTCATCAGTGAGAGTCCGTTTCAGTTGAATTGCACTCACGTCCGTTCGATACGCATTTCACTTCTGTGCCACCTGAGCCGCCCTTCGAAGCTTCAAGGTATGCCCGCGAAAAGACCGCTCACGTTTTGCCACTTTAAGTGGTAGCGGCTGGTAGCGGAGCCCGGGAACACCCCGGGCTCCCGCGCACATGGCGCAGGAGGAGGCGGCGTGGAGACCGAGGCGGCGTCGACCGCCGAGTGGCACTGCGGTCGCGGACGAGGGTGGGATCATGGATCATGGGCATGCTCGCGAAGCTTCGTGTTCCGCTCCAGGCACCGTGGCCGGCTCAGGGTAGGCAGAGACGTGGGAGGATCGGCTGATCCGTGGTCTTTGTCCTCTGATCCATGGCAGCGGGGACGCTTTGTTGTTGATGATTGGAGTGGGACTGGGCGGCCAGACCAATGGTGGTCTAGTGGTTGGAGGGCAACGTCATGGGGTTGGGATACCTATGAACCTTGGGCGAGGTGGTCGTCATGGTCTACACGACCTATGGATGGTTGGTGGAGTCACCAATGGGGGCGGCAGGAGTGGACTCCTGCCTTTGAGACTTGGCCGCAAGCAGAGCCATGGCGCGTTGCTTCCGAGCGCGGCGATGGGGGCGGTGCTGCGGACGCAGTTGACCGTAAGCCGGGTTTGGGTGATGCAGACCATGGGGTACCTGAACAACAGCCTGCGGAAGGACGCGGTGATGTTGCCCGAAAACAAGGAGGTGATCTTCCTGGCACGGACTCTTCCTGGAGTTGGTATAATGACTCCCCTCTTGATGAGAGCCTTGAACGGAATCCCGCCGCCTGGCCACCAGGACCTTGGGAACTACATCAATTGGATGCCGGAGATGAGCCCAGTACGACTTCCAGACCTACGCACTTCGACGGGGCTCGAGGGCGTGGGGCAGGTGTGAGTGACCAAGAAGGGAGTAGTAGCAATGTTGGCAATGGCAAGGCACACAACAACAGGAAGATCCCCTCGACATACCCACCCTCCTTCTCAGCTTCCTCTGACGAGTCCTATGCTCAGTGGAAGCGATCAGTGCAGTGTTAAAGGCCAATTGCCGGAAGATGTGATGGGTCCGAGATGTCTCTCGGTCCTCAAAGGCAGAGCCAGTGTGATCGTCCGGCACTTGAAGATCGAAGAAGTCAGTCGACCAGGTGGCCTCTCCTTGGTGTTTCAGACTTTGGAGGCGTCCCCGCTGGTCAAGGAATTGGACGGTCAGCGTGGTGAGAAAGCACAACGTGAATTCCTACGCTGCCGACGACAGAGTGGTGAGGCCATGGAGAGCTTCATCATGCGTGTTCAAGCTCAGCGTGCCGTGATGGAAGAGGAGGACCCTCAGTTCGCGGTCGGTGACCGGTTCCTGGTTGGCTACATTTTGGACCGTGCTGAGTTGACGCTCAAGGACCGAGTGATGGTGTTAGCAGCGGCGCAAAACCAGGTGACCTCGGACGCTGTCTTCCCGGCCTTGAGGAGGATGGGCCCTTTTCTACAGGGAACCGTGCCCATTGGCAAGGGTGGTATCGATGCACCATTGCTACCAGAGCTACACGCAGAGGGCCACCAACAAATCCGCTTCCACCTCCATGACGGAGGGTCGGAAGCCATGGAGCTACAAGGCCCATGTCGTGGAGGAGGGCATGGGCTATGGCAGTGAAGAAGATCCAGCTCTGGATTTGGACTTTCCGGAGGAACTTGAGGTGGCCACACATGCCGCTACGGCGGCCTATTCCTCCTCGCAGGCCAAGCTTAGGGCCTTGAAGCAGGCCCGTGGCTATTTCAAGCGCACTGAGCCTCATGCCCAACCTGATCGAAAAGAGCGCCTATACGCAAGTTGATGCAAGAGAACCCATGTCGGGCTTGCGGGGGCTATGGGCATTGGAGCAAGGATCCTGAATGCCCAAAGAACGCCAAGGGCGCTCCAGCTATGACCGCTTCCTCTCAGCCGACCTCTTCAATTTCTCCCGCTATGGGGGCAGAGACCGGCGATGTCCGCCGTCTTAGAGCAAATGATGAAGGAGCAACAGCAACGACCTTCTATCGTGCGTGAATACATGGCTGCTGTTTGTTCAACTGGTCGGAAGGGTCAGGAATTTGTGACATTGGTCAATGCTAGTAGCACTTCCTTTTCCTCGTGCATGGTCGTCGATCTCGGATGTCTTCGCTCTGTTGCTGGGGTTGGTTGGATTGTTCAAGAGGTTCAGCGGTGCCGGAGGCAAGGTCGTTTTGTTGAGATACAGCCCACTCAAGATTATTTCCGCTTTGGGGACGGTGCTCGGCGACAATCCAAATATCGTGTTTTCCTTGAGATCGGACTGTGTGGACATGTGGGATTGTTGGCTGTGAATGCCGTCGAGTACCCATGTCCTCCGCTTCTGTCAAAGGTGGTGTGCAGTCAATTAGGACTTCATCTTGATTGTGGTTCAGGTCGATATGATTTGCAAAAGTTGGGCGTGACAGCAAAGCAATTCACTACATCTCAGGGTGGTCATTTTCTGTTGAGCATTGACAGTTTTGTTGTGGGTTGGCCAAGTTGGGTGCAATTGAGACAACAAGGTCATCATCCTAAAATTTGTCATGACGAGATTCAAATGTTTGAGCTACGCAAGGGACAGCCTGTTGGAAAAGGGGTTTGCCGCGCTCCTGGCCTGGCTCAAGCTCAAGGACGCCGTGCAGCTCGGGCTGAGACCTCCCGACCGTCTTCCGCTTTAGCCACTGATGGATCGAGTGCAGCGGACGCGACAAGCCAGGACACGACCTCAAGAGCCGGATGTCTACTCCATCCACAGCCAGGAGCAAGAGTTCGACGAGAATCCAGCGGACTTTCCTTGGGACGGGGAGGAGGAGATTCTGACAGGCTTCTCTCCCCCCACTCGGCGCAAGTCCTCGACGGGGACCAGGCTGGACGAATCGATGGGGAGTGCCACCTCGGCAGCTGGGGGCAAGGCTCAACAGAGGGGCGCAGCGGCATTGGGGGCAGCGCCAAAGGTGAAGGCGGAGGACAAAGTCGCCCAGAAGACGATCAGCAAGAAGGAGGGCAAGCTAGAGGTGACGGGGCTGAATGCGGTGTTTCCCACGCTGGGATTTACTCACAGCCAAGATCCAGTCCTGAACATGAGCTGGGTCCTTCATGGCCGTCTGATCGTGCGCAAGTGGAAGCAGCTCTTCTGGACGCTGCGAGCCAAGGCGGCTCTGGAGGTGGAACGCCGCACCTGGCGTCGCCACCCTCGTTGGTTGGCAATGATGTTCAGCCGGGAGGTAGCGGCGATCTGGGGGCATCTGGGCGTCGCGACCCGCACCTTGTCCGGACCGAGGGGCCCTCCGATGATGCGCTGAGAAGCAATGGCCGATCTGAGAAGACACGGCCATGGACTCGGGGTCAAACACAACAGTTGAAACAAGGCATCAAGGCGGTGAGAACAGCCATCGACCATTTAGCTCATGTTGCACAACAGTCACCCGAGCCCTTGTGGCGTGTGCTTGAGATTTTTGGCGGTAGTGCTGCTTTATCGCTGGTAGCGAGATCCACAGGTCATTGGGTGGCTTTGGAACCAGTTGACATTGTCTATGGACAAGACTTGCTCGACCCAAAACAGAGGAAGCTAGTTTTTCAACAACTGTTAGATTGGGAACCGGACTTGGTATGTTTAGAGCCACCATGTGGACCCTGGTCATCTTTGCAGAATATAAACGCCAAGGAAATTGTGGAGCTGAAACGTGCGATTCATCTGCCTTTCTGGGAGTTTGCCGCACAAGTGTGGCGTATTCAAGATCGAGCTGGTAGGTTAGTTCTTTTGGAGCAGCCTTTGTTGAGCGCCGCTTTGAAGTTGCAGTGTATGTTGAAGCGCGAGCACGTACATCGGGCCGTCGTCGATCAGTGCATGTTTGATTTGCGAGATCCACACACTCATAGGTGGTATAGGAAACGTACGGCTTTGGATGTCAATTCTTCTGTTTTCGCTGCAGCTCTGATGAAGCATGCTCAATGCACGCATCGTCCTGACCAGCACGAGGTCATCGAGGGTAAGACGTTTTGCAATGGCCAGTGGGTCAACCGCTCGCTCGTGGCTGGGACTTGGACAACCAAATTCGGCAAGCACATCTTAGCCTGCGCAGGAGTGGCTCTACTCCAAGCAGGCTGCTGGCAGCGGCGACACACTAGCTCCTTGGCCTTTTGTTTCCAGCTTTGATGGTGGGGTGGAGCCTCGATCGTTCCTCGAGTTGGCCGCCAATGAGACAGTGTGTGCGCAGGACGGGCGCTATGCTTTGTCAGCTGCCTGGTGCGCCGATTGTCGCACGGGTTGGTGTGCGGCGTGTGAGAAGGGACATCTTTGTGAGCCTCAGCCGGAGTTTCTACAAGTTGATGATCATTTGGTTCTGGCCAACACGGCTGAGGATGATGCACCTGATCAAGGATGGCTAGACTAGAACATGGGGCAGCCCCTGAAGAGCTGAAGACAGAGATGGCCATCAATCAGACCTTCCGTCGCCTTCAGCGAGAAGAGGACCAACGGAAGGGAGACTTCAGCGGCATAGGGAGCCGCTATGGCTATGTGCATTTCGTTGGACCATCTCTCCGGGCGACCAAGACCATCCGCAATCAGGTGGCCAAGCTACACGGATCACTTGGCCATCCCTCAAATGAACGACTGACCCGTATGCTCACCATCAACGGGGCAACCAAGGAAGTGGTCCAGGCATCCAAGGATTTGAGATGTGAGATTTGCGCACGTGTGCATCCACCGGCCTCAACACCCAAGTCGAGTTCGACGAACCCAGAACGCTTCAATCAACATGTATCCTCCGACTCCTTCTTTGTTCTGGATGCCGAGGGCCGTCGATGGAACATCACACACTTGGTCGATGGGTTTTGCTCGCTGCAGTACGCGGTGCTATCCAAGAACCCATCGTCTCAGGTCAGCTCCGACCTCTTGTTTGACCGGTGGATCTTGATTCATGGGCCTATGCAACGACTGACTGTCGATGGCGGCCCTGAGTATTGTGGACAATTTCCTCACCTCTGCGCCCTGTATGACATCAACCTGCAGGTGCTTCCCACGTCAGCCAAATGGAAGAATGGGGTGGCTGAGAGGCACGGCTCGATACTCAAACTGATCATGCTCAAGATGATCCATGAAATGTCTTTGAGCAAGGAGCCTGAGCTGCGCTACGCCTTGGCCATGGCGGCGCAGGCCAAGAACAGATTGAGCCACAAATGTGGGCGGTCTCCTTTGCAGGTCGTCCAAGGAAGAGATGTGGTGCTGCCATCATCCCTGGTAGAACAAATCGACCAAGGAGAGATCAAGTTTGCCACCAACAGCTATTTGATGGAACGACAAGAGCAACAGAAGATGGAGCGCATGCGACAAGAGGCTGCTGCCGCTTTTCACTGGCTAGACTCCAATGAACGTCTGCGCATGGCTCTCAACAGCCGGTCAAGACCGCCACACTTGAAGGCAGATGCTCTGACACCAGGAACAGTGGTGTACTTCTTCAAGCAGCCAGCGCAGAACAAGAGGATGCAAGACTATGCCACAGCCTACCAAGGCCCCGCCATCGTGGCTTGCTCTGATGGTCCTGATCGGCTGTGGGTCCGGTTCAAAGGAGCTGTGGTCCGAGTGGCTTTAGAGAATGTCCGCTTAGCCACGGAGGAGGAGGAGGTTGCCACGTCGTTCATCAAAGAGTCCATGGCGGAGTTGGAGGCTGAGTTGACAGGGGGACGTCGACCACCAGGCTATGAAGATCAAACAGAAGAGAAGGATGAACCTGAAGCAGCACCAGCGGCTTCTCTTCCCGGCCCGCCTGGCGAGGTGCAGATTGACTCGGGCAACTTGGCGGGTCGGGCTGAGCCGCAACAAGTGGAGGCATCAGAGACACCGGGGACAGAAGAGTCCACTGTGCCACCTCCTCAAGTGCCTGTTCCCACTCCCGAAGTTATTGAAATGGCCAAGGCTTCGGAAGACCGGCGCCGCATGATGGATGGACTACCACCACGCCATCGAGTGGGACCCTATGAACCAGTGGGCAAGGCAACCGTGCCGCAGCGCATCGACTTCTTTGAGAGGGGAGGCAAGGGGGACACTTGGCGTGCGATCCTCGAAGAGGCGGGTGCTAAGTTGAAGCTCGCGGATACTTCCCCTCTATTGCGCCTTGCTGCTGAGAAAGATGTTCAACATCTTCATCGAGAACTACAAGCAGGTGTGGAGGAGAGTGTGCGACAACGTGATGAAGGGGGAGAGGCCACGTTGAAGACACAAAGGGCCGAAGCTTCATCATCGACCATAGTGGAACCAGGAGTTAGCACTTTGGCTCCTCTGGTAGCAGAAGCTTTGATGGTCTCAGAAGCTTGGGCTCTCAACTCTACCACCCTCCTGACGGAAGGCGAGCGCATGAAAGCGGTGCTGGAGCAATTTGATGATGATGCCCTACAAATGGAGCGAGAGAGAGGGCACCGTGCAGGTCCTGAGCCAGGAGCAAGGGGGGGAGATATACCTCAAGGACATGACGCCTACCGAAGTGCGGCTGACCATACCAGCACTCATCAAGGCTTTGGAGATCCACTTCACCTATGACGCCATTGAGCCGGTACCCGTGGACCAGTTGATCAACAAAGATTCCACTTTGCAGAGCCGCTTCGTGATTGTCAATAAGAAGTGGCTCCAGAGAGAATTTGGCCCAAAAGGGAGACGATGTGTTGGCGGACATTTGGATCCGCATGCCGGTGAGTATGCCACCTCGTCGCCAACAGCACAGTTGCTTGGGCATCATCTCTTGTTGGTCATCACGGTGACCTTGAAGTGGACAGCCTATGGGGGTGACATCACCGCGGCCTTTCTACAGGGAGAGCCCCTGCCTAGAGACAAGCCCTTGTACATCTGGTTCCCACGGAAGATGCCTCTTGAAGTTCAACAATATGTGGGCCAGAAGTTGAAGGGCTATCGAGAAGATGTGGTCAGAGTGGTGAAGGGTGTTTTTGGCCTCAACGAATCACCTCGTTTGTGGTACTTAGGCCTGAGGAAACATCTCCAGCAGCTGGGCTTCCGAGAGATGACTCTGGCACCTTGTGTTTTCACACTTCATCAAAAGGGGGTTCTTTCTGCCATGGCAACGGTTCACGTTGACGACGTGTTGCTGGCAGGAGGTGATGCTGCAGAACCCATCTGGACTGAGCTTCAACGACGGTTGACCTTTGGCAGCTGGGCGCCCATGAGTGATGGATTAAAGTTCCTGGGTCGCCATTTGAAACAAGATACTAGCACTTTTGAGATCAGCACTTCGATGGCAGACTATTGCGCCGACCTCACTGAAGTGAACATTGGTGGGTCTGAGTCGGACGATCGTGCCTTGACTGAGTCTGTGGTGAGTTTGCTGCGATCCATCAACGGCAAGCTCAGCTGGGCAGCGCGACAGAGCCGACCCGATGTGCTGTTCCTCGTGTCGCTTCTCCAGCAGAGTATGAAAGCACCACAAGTACGCCATCTGCGTATGGCCAACCAAGTTATTCGACAACTCAAGAAGAATGTGACCCTGAACTTCGTGCAACTTGGCTGTTCGCTGGATGAATTGCTTTTTGTGGTGGCTACTGATGGAGCCTATGGCACTATGCCAGAGGGTAAATCCCAACAGGGATGGTTGGTGGCTATCGCTCATCCGAACATCAAGGAGGGGCACAGCCGCATGAATTTGGTGGAATGGCAAAGCTCTTCATGCAAGCGGATTGTCCGCTCCTCTATGGCCATTGAGGCGAGCGCAGCTTCTATGGGCTATGAGCATGGAGAATATGTCCGAGCTCTTTTTGGAGAAATCATTTGTGAAGATTTTCAGGTGAGGAAGTGGGGACATTTTGTCCGAAGGTGGGAATTGCTTTTGGTCCTTGATGCGAGGGCTGCACATGACACCTTGCAGACAGAGAGTCTGCCTCAGGATCGTCGCACGGCTTTGGACCTTTTGGCGATCAAGGAGAGCTTGCTTGATGAGAGCAATCGCTCTTTGTGCAGGTGGGTGCCGGGACCCCAACAGATCTCTGATGGGCTCACCAAGGAGAAAGACAACAAGATGTTGCTGTCGTTCTTGGAAAACAATAAGTGGAGCCTCAAGGAAGACACCACGTGGCAGGAACAACGTGAACGGCAACGCGCCCACCAGAAAGCCTATAAGGCTAATGCAAAGGCGGCTCGAAAGGGGGCCTCAGGGGGTGAGTTGAATTGCACTCACGTCCGTTCGATACGCATTTCACTTCTGTGCCACCTGAGCCGCCCTTCGAAGCTTCAAGGTATGCCCGCGAAAAGACCGCTCACGTTTTGCCACTTTAAGTGTTTCTCCATTTCCGAGAGTCGTAGAGTCGGTATGCATCTCCAAGTTGACCCTCTGTGGCTGCACGGACTGGTGTGATAGGTGGGTGATCTCCCATGTCGACGCCTCAAAGAGGGTCCACAAAGCTAAAAGAGTCCACACGAAAAAACAGCACATAATTTTGTTTGAGGGGGGTAGGCCGTAGAGGTAGCTAGTAGAAGAGGCAGCTAGCTAGTACCCTGCTTGTACCCTACTAGCATGGACGCAGGATAGCTCACACTTCTTCAAGGAAGCTCCCCCCGCCGTGGGGGAAGCTTCCTTGAAGAAGCGCTCACACTAATGATTTGGTTCCTAGACTTTTAAGGAAACTTACATAACTACTTATACCGCAACTTCAAAGAGACCCGCCTTCTCTGGGTCGAGCAAGGCCCCCTGAAAGGAGATCGTTCGAATAGGAGCCCCACACGGGATGACCAGTTTGCGCTCGGACAGCGCCCTAGCGGCTCTGGCACCGTGTGCGCACCACGGCACAGGCAGTCGAAACATTCCCCTCAAACAAAAACAGAACCTGCTGAGTCTTCCACCCAATAGGCATGACACGTTGCAAAAAGGCATAAAAAGACACTGGCCAGCCTGAAGATCGAAGTTCTTGGGGTAGGTGTTGGTTTCAGTTCGCGGGTATGTCAAGTAACCGTCCAGGTACAAGCGTTCGGCCAGGTGCAATGCTTGTTGGGGTCCAAGCCCGAGCCTGTGGGAGCGATGCCCTTGCTACTAGTAGCCATGCCCTTGCTACTAGTAGCAATTCAATTATTCTTCAATGTGTCTTCTTTCAAACGCTGTTACATGTGTGAAACAATATGCGTTTCAAGCTCTTTTAGAGGGACTTCCCGCAGCTTGCTGCAAGTACTCGTAGACCGTATATAGACTCGTTTGTATCTGAGAGATATGTGTGCACTACCCTCTATAGCATACCCTGTATAGAATGCCCCAAATGGACCCCCACAGGTCCATGGTTTATAGAGGAGATTCGCTCCCCTATTATATATAACCGCCTGACCCCTGTGCTATTCAGAACGCTCGCCTCGTACTTGCCATCTTCAGCATAGCAACAGTGTTGAGTGCTTGTGGACGTGCCATCCGATCCTCTTTTTGTGTGACGTCTGTCACGACAGCTTTTGCTTGATCTTCTTGGACCAGGCTCATGCTTTTTTTGCAAGCGCCCATGTCAAAGGTTTGCTCTCTGTCCCACTGAAGTGCCAATTCGCGGCCAGCTTTGGACAGGGTCACATCCACTGTGTAGTAGGTTTTCGGTTGGAATGTATTGATCTCGTCGCTTCTTTGAACGCAGAACCAAAGTGTTGGAGTTTGACAAGGCCCGTAAGATACAAGGTTCGTGTCTAAGTCTCCATACTTCCCTTGGAAGAACTTGGTCTGGAAGCGCGTGAAAGCGCAGCCAAGCTTCAAATCCATTTCCTCAACAGAATAGTTAATTCTGTTGATTGGACGACTCAGTCGACTCTAGTCTCCACGTTACTCTCACCGACTTGACTTTCCCAGTGTAAAGACCGACCTCTAAAGGCCTCGAAATGTCTCCTTTACCAGAAAAACGGAGAGAAAAACGCCCCTCCAAGCATCTGCCCGTGCATCCACGGAGTCGGACATCGCTTTGTTTGGAGATCCAAGATTTGCCATCGCCCACTTGAGATCGACGGGCGCCAGGGATGAAAACTGCGCCCGCCAGACTTGTTGCTCGCCGTGCCAAGTGGACATGTTTGGGATGGCATTCTCCATGACCTGGGCATTGAGTGCTCGAAAGCCTAGGAAGATTTGACCTATTCGCACTTGGGTGTCTCCAAAAAACAACCCATTGGACCAGGCAGACCCCTCAATTTCCAGGTCGCACCGTACACATGTTCATGAAAACGTAGCGCCTCGTAGCAAATATTCTCGCCCTCGCGATCACAGTCCAGCCACAGAACTAAGTAGGTGCATCCTTTGGCCTAGCAAAGTTGTGAATCGTCTACTTACAAAAGTCTGTGCCAGAAGTATGTGCTGTATCAAGTCTCAGCATCAGGACATCAAAGCAAAGTAAACAAAAACTATACTATAGATCAAACAAAACATCCACGAAAGCTTGCCAAGGGTTCTCCTACCGATGGTAGCTAGGGCATTCAAGCAGGAAGGGCCTCTGTCTGAAAATGCTTGGGCATCCTGACAGCAAGGAAATCGACTGCTAGTTTTTTTTTGTGGCGTCTTCGAAAAGTTTTGCAAACAGCAGTACAGCTGGGGATGGGTATGAGACTATGGACTCAGCTATTGCGAGCACTGCTTGATTGATCAAGAGGTAATGACCGAAATATATCCAATGTGTTAGTGAAGGCCTCAAACTTTGGAGGTAAGGGCCCCTTCTCCTCTCCCAGTTTGCTTCCCATTGTGGCTTGAGGTGCACCATAGAGAGGACTTACCAAGTGTTGAAGACTATGTCTAACCCGCGAGAATTCACCCGGTCGTGTCTGGATGTGCTGTGTCAATAGGCTGTCAGCATCAGCTCAAAGGCACCACACATGCATGCACATCCAAACAGTACTCAGGTGCTCAGTTCATTGACCCTCAGTTGATCGTTTGGCGCCTCAGTTTGGGATTGGCCTCCACCTTCCTCGTGGGTGCGTCAAAAAGGGTCAGAGGATCAACTCTGTCCCAATTGTTGTACTCCGGCGGGAAGTCGATGGAGTAGACATGACCTGACCACCACGCGACGTCTCGACCACGAGGGTCCATGACCCGACAACCTGGACCCAGAAAAAGACTTGGCAAGTCAACCCCATGCCCACTGCAATATCTGGCTGTGCAAAGGGAGGAAGAAGTTTCTGCGACCGGCAGAAACTCCCCTGACCGGGCATCCGACCAGCACAGCTGGTCACCTTGAACCAAGCACGTTGGCCATAGAAGTCTCCCTGCCACCTTGGATGCAATGTTCCTGCTTCGTTGCCAAACAAAGATCCTGAATCAGTTTTAGTTTTAATTCTATTGAATTCTTGCTTCTAATGGCTTCTTGTTCCTAGTAGTAAGGCCAGGAGCCCCTAGTAGCGTCCTTGCTCCTAGTGGCGATGCCCTTTGCTCCTAGTAGTTTCTTTGATGGAAAACCCTTGAAAGGCCACCAGGAAACATCTGCTCGGTCATCCGAGGCACTCATGAACTTTGCAAGCAGGCGATACCTCATGGCACTGCTTGGAAAACTGGGAGACAACATCATGCCTTGACATTCGTCAAATTTTGTGATGGCATGGTTTGGTCAAGCTAGGAGGATTTTTGCAGGCAAAGGGACTCCACCGCGCGTACTGTACTTTCTGCCCGGTGCTAAAGCATCCGCCAATGTTTGTGCAATAGAGGGCTTCTCTGCCACCATCAGAACCTCGCCAACTGAAGAATTCCAGTTAACTATATATGTAAACTGCTACGTAAACTGCTCAAGATCTTCTTCCATTATAAAGATTATAAGGGTTCAAAAGGGCGAAACAATAGAAGCAAACTAGGCAAACTGGAGGATCAGGGCATTCATGTGTCAAACTGGTCAAACTTCATGCAAGCAGCACTGACGACCATGGTTGCAGGCTCAGGCTGCCATGGAGAAAGCAACCTCTCTCGCTATCTCCGCACTTTGGAGCCACAAAAATGGTGGGAGAGCAACACGGTGGTCTCTCCAAAGCGCCATAGCCTTCTCATGACCTTTCCAGTTAAACTCCAATGAGCAAAACAATTTCGGCAAACTTTCCTTTCCGGTGTCTTTCAAATCACGGCTCGACGGCCCTGCTTGGCCGCCGGTGCATTATCGTGTCGTGAGACGCAGGGGCAGCCTTGCTGTGGGGCTGAAACAGCTCTGGAAGCGGTCGAGCTGCCAGCCAAGGGCTGCAGGGCACACGGCAATCTTTGTGATTAGTATCCTCCAACCACTTTGCGTTGGCTGACCAAGTATTACTTCGGTGCCAATGGTGCCCAGTCCTTTAAGCCCGGCTCAACAGTGATTCTTGGGGCTTCGGTTTTAACAGAACATGGCTGGAAATGCATGACAATGTGAAGATTGCGGTCACTGTAAGGACTGTCGGTCCAGGTCACTTGTCTTTGCTCGCAAGTGAAGGAGCTTTGCAATGGCAAGCTCTTGTTGGAGATTTTTGCCAGCCTTGGGCTTTGTCTAAGCAAGTCAGGTGCAGACGAGTGAAGGGTGTAAAAGTACCGAAAGCTTTGTCTGCACTTGGTAAACAAATGAGGTGCTTTCATCAAATATGTCAAAAGTGTCGCTGCAATCGTGCAATGCCAAGATGATCCAAGATGTGCCTTTGCTGACTGAAGAGATGCTGAAGGCCGATGTGGGAATGACGTTGCCTCGAATCAAACGCGACCAGACCGGACTGCTGTCGGCCGATGTCGTTTTTTTCTCCGGCCTTTGGCGTCAACTGCACTCGGCCGATGGGGACTCCAGGACGCTTCCCAAGACCATCTGCCCAACTCACCTCAACAGCGGAAGGAGCTTTCTTCGCCGAATCTGGTGAGTTTGCCAAAACCGTCTGAAACATTCCCACACCCGAAAAATGATAATAAATTTTCTGCCAACAGCCTTCCACGTGAAAACCCATGTCTTGTGAATGCCCAAAGGTCTGAGACCCTTGCCGACTGAGGTGACAATCGGTGTCCTGGAATGGTCCGGAAGGCAGAAGGCAAACGCAGCATTCAATCATCTATCCCGAGTCTATTCACCCCTTTGGAAGGAAAAAATGGAGCTCCACGGCCAAAAGTACCAATCCCAAACCAAATACCTAGCGTCCTAGTAGGCGTCCTTGCTCCTAGTAACTTAGTAGCTCCAAACCAAATACCTAATACGGCTTCAGATCCGATCCACTATGCATTTGGCCATTGCCTCCGCATGCCTCTGCATCGTCGATCCACCCGGCTGCGATCGTCGGCGAAAAGTCTCGTTGTGGAGAGCGCAGGAGAGGGGAGAGAGTGCAGGGTGAGGTTGAGCTGTCCTGTTATTTTCAGTACCTGGGTCCAGATTGGGAGGATTTGTTGCCTTTTCTAGGGAAGGGAAGTACTCTATGCCTGGCAGTTTGAAACCAAAAGGCCAGGACGATGCCCGGAGCTGAATGGATTGAATCAGCAAGCATGCGCGAACCTTGTGGCTTGTCAAGCTTTCCATCACAGTGAATCCCTGCCGACATCCGAAACGCAGCTCGGGCACGGCTCGGCTGGTTTCGTCCTGTCTGCAGACTATAAGAGGAGGTCGCCGCTGTGGACCTGTTCGCGGGTGGGTCCTTTTTTCGTTCGATACGCGCTTTCGGGTCCAAACTTCCGGTGATGTTTTGGTGTGCCTTGAAGAGGGGCTGAAGTAGTTGCGCTGTCCACCTCAGGCTTCGTGTCGATGGAATCGGTCGATGGAAGTCAAAGTCCTTAAGCCCGCAGCTGGTTTGCATTTGGCTAACATAGGGCTTGAATTCGGGACATGGTGGAGCAAACTGCCACGGTCAGGGCATGCAAGAAGAATGAAGCAAGCAACATGAATACCTGAATACCTAAAGATCCTGAAGAGTGGCTGTGCCTTCATCTCATTCTGGTCCACATAGCACCTCCTTTCTTTATCGCATTCCTGAGGCAACATGCTTTGTTTTTGTAATTCTTTGCCCAAAAGGACACAGAAATAAGCCAAGATGAGCCAAGCATCTTCCCGACAGGCATGTTGCAGCTCAGAACAGGTCAGACCTGAAATTCATACTCGCGCACAACTCAAGACATGCTATTTGACACCCGCTCTGTTCTCAAAGCCCTATTGAGGTTCTAGCCCATCAGGCCAAGGGCTCAAACGCTAACAGCAAGAACTGTCCACTTGAAGCAAAACAAGAAGAAAAAGGTGTTCCTCTAAGTTCTGCAGATCTGGTCTCAGTATGTCCATTTCTACTGGAAGTCTGCAAAAGTGAAAAAGACTTCTTCACGTTCTGTCAGCACGCTGCAAACGGCGAAAAAACGCGGCGACAAAAGGGTGGCCAAAAAGGATCATGAGATATGCCACAGCTCACAGTCATCCTGACAGTTCCGGCGATGTTTTTGCGCGCTGCACCTCCCGTCCTTGCTTCTGTACCAAACGCCATGGGCTTTCGGCTCAAGCAGGCCATGCATAAGCAATGCGCATTAGTATTCAAACAGGTCCTACGATCTTTGGATACGTTTGGCATTCCTTCTGAAGCCCAAAGCGTTTGGCTGGAGGGATTAAGAGTTCGGTGGCTGTACCTCACGGCCTGCCTGCATGGCTTGCCACGCTTCAAAAAGTGAGGCCTCGCTGGGACGAAGAACTGAGCGTGAAGGGTTACTGAAGTTTTAAGTCACCCTCGCTCGCTGTGAAAACTTCGGGGCCGCCATTCCAGGTTGCCTTTGGAATGGCGCCATTCACTGGGAGAGAACCATGCCATTTGCTGAAGGACCGGCACAAGCCAAAAGTTGCAACAAACAAGTCATGTTTCGATGAAGTCCTTATGAGCAAGGTTCTGCCCAGGGTACGCTGCCGACAAGGCGCCTAAAGCCAAGATCTATAAGTGCGCTTTGGTCTACAGTTGTTAGGAGAAAACATTGCACAAATCTATGTAAACCTTTGCAATGTAGACCAAAGCTTGAAACAATATTGGTGCCGCTCACAAAAGCTGGCACGTATCAAAAACCTCTGGACACTGGACCATTTGGTGTCGCTGATGACTTTTCGAGCATTTGACGCTACGGTGGTATGACAGCCTTCAAATGGACTGCAATTCCAACCAGCATCACTTTAGTCCGAATCGCTCTCGATGGCCTGCAGGAAAAGAAAGCGAAAGCGGAAAGAAGGGGCGAATTGAGTCGTCAAGCTTGCCCAAATTTATCACTATTCAAACGGCTCCATCGAACCAAAGGAAATCCGATAGTGTCTCTTCACACGTCCTCGAGTTCAGATTCACATTCGAGGAGAGGACATGAGAAAAGGGGTTGGAGATCTTGCTTGACAGTCCGAGAGCTTTGCGGAGGAGATCTTTGCACAGCGTTACTCTGACGTCAGAAGTCTTGCTCTGACGTCATGCGACTGCTTCGTTGTCGATCACCTCTGCAAGGGAGTTTCTCAAGGTGGCCGTAACCTGAAAAACTTGTGGGTATCTTTGTGGTGCCATCAAACTTCCCTGAGTGCGCTGGACCTATATAAATTCTCTCTTGCTGTCCCTTTCAGGTGGCGGTATCACGGCTAACCTGAAAACAACTTTTGCCGCAGTGGGTGCAATGCTGAAGAGATTTGACCAATTTTGCACCTTCATCGTACACGTTGCACTCTGTTGTCGCAGTCCAAAAACGGAGTCTTGGCAGAAGTTACAAACATATTTGGGAAGTGTCCGGAAAACACCAACTCCATGCTCGCAAAACCTCATGGTGCGTAGACATAGACATAGACTCAAACCCGCATGCTCTGCAAACAAAAAACACCATGTGCCACCCACCCCTTGGTCGGCGACACCGATGCCGATCCGCGCCTCGCAGAGCTGCGCCAGGTCGCCGTCGCTCCACGAACGCCGCATGGACGCAGAGAGAGGCATCTCTTCGTCGATGCGGACCGCCTCGGGGCGCTCGCCGCGGGCATCGCTGCCGGGTCTGAAAGGTCAAAGACAATGGCTTTTCGTGGGCAGCTTAGGATGATGTGTGTGTGTGTGTGTGGGGGGTTCTGTCTTGCAGTTCCAGAAAAGAGAAGGACCGAGACCCTGATTTGGGGCCAAACACACATGGTTCGTTCCCTTTCCCGGCCGGTTCTTCAATCGAACCTCCATGAAGGTGCCCTTGATGCGAAGTATAATATTGTCATCGTCCTGGCACTGCATTCTGCTTCTCTTCCAACAGAAATTCCCGCAGAGGCAAAGCAAACAACGAGAGTGCTTCAGTGCCTTGCTAAAGGCTACTGCTGGAGGAGCCTGATGCCAAGCTGAGTGACTTCAGCTGATTACCGTCTACGGTCTGTCCGAAGACAGGAGCAAAGCATGCCTTGTCGACTTTTCAGAGACTCTTTGGTTGGTTTTGGCACCCATCGTTGAAAGTATATCTAGCTTTAAGAGTCCAAAAAGAGTTTTGTCAAAGTTGTTCTGTGCTTGTCTTTTCTCCCTAACTCAACGCCGCTCCGGTCACCCCATGCTTTCAAACTCGGGTCATGACCGTTTGTTGCCGCTGGATTTTGCTTTGTCCTGAAAAGCAACAGCCAAGGTTCCCAGAAGAACCAGAAGAACAGCTGTTGCATTTGAGAACCATGAACTCTGTCCTGGGACTTCAGATGTCAGGGTCTCGGAGGGTGCATCGGAATCCAAGAGCTGTGCCTGATTTACTGCTTGGCTCTCCCTAATACTCCAATCAATCGGGGAGTATCGAATCAGGTGTTCCTCTGTGTTAGGAAGCAAGGAAAAGCCGCAAAGGCTATATATGCGTATATAATTGTGTATACATGCTAGTTACTAGATCATACATGGTTCTGAAAGGGACAAATTGCTGCAACCTTCCGCCCAGCAGCCTCTGAAACCTCTCCATCACTACCGGATCGCTCCATCTGGCAAGTAAGGCAGAGATTGAATGATCAGTCTAAATCCAGCTTTGATGTTTCGACTGGAACAGCTTGAGTTTTTCGCGTTCGCCTTTCCAAAGAACATTTAACCCAGCCTGACCTCACCACCAAACACACCAAACTCTTGAGGGTCATGATTCATGATTGATGTGGTTCTTGACAATCCGCAACATACTGGGCCTGAGCATCAGCATCAGCGTCAGCACCAGCATCAGCACTACCATCTTCTGCTGCCATGCTCGCAAGTTGTTCCTGCGGTTTCTTATGGATACACCCTTCTGCACAGTCAACAACATGAAACGATGCTCTGCTCTCTCATGATCTCTCATGTGCTCTCAAGTTCCAAGACCTCCAACAAATACGGATAGAAGCCAAAGCCAAAGTCCATGGATTCCTGGCATCAACACGTCCTACTTAGCTCACCAACACCGCGCTCCAAGGGCTTTCTTCTACACTCCAAATACGTCCGAAGGCACCTCGGAGAGGTCGAAATCCGCTCCGAACATACCTCGGAGAGGTCACGAGCATCTTTTTTTGCGAAGAAGGTCTTTCGAAGCAACAGGTCTTTGGAGTCGCACCCGTAAAGTTTGGATTGCTCCTGAGCTCTTCAATTCCATGGGCATAGCGACAGGAAGAACCAGCCTGGCTCACTCAGTGAATGTTCTAATGTGATCTAATGTGAACTGCATGAGTCTTGCTTTCGAAGACCTGTGGAAAACTAAAAATACATAAAACGACTCTCCGGTGAAACCATCGAACCTTGCAGCTTCCGTTGGCCCACCATCGGCAAAGCTCCGTTTTGAAGACTGTGTCAGTCGCTCTGAGTTCACCATACCTCAGGTGTCACTCCACGCCTTCGTCGAGGCACTCCCCGGTCGCCGTCCGCTGGGGCCCCCACCCATGTGCAAACTTGCAGTTGGAGTCGTTGCACTTCCGACGGAAGAAGTTGTAGCCTGAGACACTGGCCTCTTGCTAGGCCCAAATCTGTCAGTCACTATGGACAAAAATACTGCAACGAGTATTCGATGTACATCCCAGGTCCCAACACAGCTTTGTCTTTGTCAAATCAGGTGCCTTCTGCAACTCCTCGCAGGCTGTGACCACCAAACGAACAAAGTCGGACAAACCGTCGCATCCATCAGAGGCACTTTTTCACCCCTGAAAGACTTTTCACCTTTCATCGCACTACGGCGTTTTGAGCGGACAAAAGCAGCTTGGCCTTTGGCCAGCTTTGCTTGGTCAAATCGGAAAATGATTTTGCGGAACATGCAGCTGTTTGGTGCTCTTCCGCATGAAAAGCAAAGCCTTCAAGGTCCCTCAAGTCCCATAGCTGAAGTCAAGGAGACCATTTGGGTGGTTGTCATACCTTGTTCCTTGTTCGTTCGGAAGTGTTTTGCGAATCTGAGCTGACTGAGCTCTGAAACATCTCTCAGCTTGGATCAACATGCTTCAAGTCCTGTGTGCTGCAAATGTTCGCTCCGGACCTTGCTCACATTTAGCCTGCAGATCTTCAACTGCAGTGGCTGCATGAAAGATGTCCGACAGCAACTTGTGGCTGTCTCATTATTGAACCACACAGCATTTGTCCTTAGAGTGGGCAAACTAGTTCTCTTTGAATTAAGGAGCAACCCAAGAGACCCTGGGAGGGAGGGGAGGGAAGGAGCGAGGGAGCGAGGGAAGGAAAAAGAGACAGAGAGAGAGACAGGCCTTCAGATTTCGAGAGAAAACGCTTCAGAGTATTTGAGAGATGGACAGCGACTGAGCATAGAAAATAACAAAGGTGTACCAAAGTGACAGGCAAAGTGGAACAGAGGAAGATTACACAAATCTATCATCCAAACAGGGTCCGTACATAAATCAATCAATGCGAACAAAATCGGAGCAAGTGTCTTATTATGCTAGCTGGAGATGCTTGGGAATATATGTAAACATGCAACTTGAGATGTGCAACGGCACATGTATAACATATATATATATATATAGTGGTTTCAGAATAGATGGCACAATCCTCAAATGTGGTTTATATGGACCCTTGTATAAGAGACATCTTGGGGATTGTGCCATCTTACTCTGAAACCACTGTACACCATCTAGATATATAGATATGGCCAGATGAATGTCTGCATCTCTGAAGCGCACCTCTTTGTTTCATTGACTGACTGTATAATTATATCCATAGTCATTGCAAATAGCTCTGTCTGTTAATGCATGCAGGAGCGTCCGGACGAACAGGCTTGGGCCTTGCCTCGGACATCGAGCATCCGACGAGCGTCCGGTGTCAGTCAGCGGTCCCGAGAGCACTCAAGCAGCGAGAAATTGCAGCTGAGAAGCTGCAGCTGCAAGCTGGTTCTCAGCTGCGATGCCAAGCTCGTTCCAGTTGACTTCTAAAGTTCCTGAAAGAGCACCTGGCAGAAACCATGTCTCAAAAGAGAGCGTGAGGTGTAAGGCGGAGGAACGTGCCATGAGCCACAACAAGAGGATTGCTGACCCTTGTGAGCGCCTGTGCCGAATGTTGAGCTTTTTAAAACGAGCGGCTTTTCGAAGCCTCAGGTGACTGGCTTTGGTGTGACTTGGAGTGATGATTGGACCAGCAGCGAGCGAAAAAAACCAAGCAGCGATACTGGAAGCGCTCTGCGTCCAAAGCATGAGATGGGCTCCAGCCAGGAAAGCGCAGTCCAATGCTTCCAAGTTTTGTGCCCTTGCTATACCTTGCGGAACACCATTGGCTGACGAAAAGAATGTGTGGTAAGCCTGGAGGAACCAGCCTGCAAATCGAACTGCTTCTGAACACCATATTGATATCGAAAAGAATCGAGGGGCTGTAGTAAACCAGCGGTCTCTATACAAATGGTTTCAATTTATGAACCATTGCTTGTTTGTCCAAACCGATGTATTAGTTGTATAGTATCTTGAGTCAACATTTCACAGATAAGCTGGAACAATGGATTCTGCGATGTCTTCCAAGTTCATTCAAGCTGCAGCACCATCACCAGAGTGCAACCTGAGCACTGTGACAGTAGACGCAAGGATTGGAGTGTGTTGAAATTTCATGAAATTCCTGCCATCCTGTCATCCTACCGATAAAGGCAAGGAACACTGCAATTCTTCTTGGTTGTTTGCTGCAGGCCGTATGGCAGGCAAGTCATATGGCCAAATCAGTTCATTGCCTTGCTTTGTCCTGTGAAAGCACGATGAGCAAAGTTCCTCTCAATGGACAGCTACCCCAAAACACAGTAAGCCCAGCACACTTTCATTTCATGCTCACCTAAGTCAGTTCACCACACCTCACACCTCCTGATCTTCAATCGAAACAACCAATGTGCTGAGTGTCTGGCACTGAAGGCTCTCCAGTTGCAAAGGCAATACAAGAGTCACCTTTGATCCCAAATGATTTGATTTTGATGTTCTTGAACTAACAAATCAAAATAACAAGGCACAACTCGAAGTCGCGTATGGCTGCCTGGCAGTCTTGCAAACAACGGCCCCCCAAACTAGAGAGGTGGTTGACTCTATTGATCTCTATCACCACCGGACTCACAGGCATCTTTTCTCCTTTCAATTTGGAAAGGTTCATTCGTGCAACGCCTGAGTTACACCTGGACCTGTGACGTACCAAAAGAGGTCGTTTGCACCCATGGGCTTCGTTCCAGTGCTGCCATCCAAGTCGGTGCACAGCGTGTAGTGTCGGCCAGCTTGTAGATGGGATGCGTCGATGGTCGCGGTCCATTCGGGCGAAGCCCCAGCAAGGTTGACCGCAGCTGTGTTCATGAATGTGGCGGCAATACTGCCATCAGCGATGGTGCCGTCACAATTGATAGCAAGGTAGGCCATCGTGTCTGTAGAACAGCCACTGCAGGTTATCGTTAGTACCTGCCCTGCCGCAGCTGAGATAGTACCTCCTGAAGCTGTTACAGAAGCCATGTAGACCTGCAAGCCGGTATCCCCGAAGGAGTAGTCAGTCGCAACTCCATCGAGGTCCATACAAATCCGAAACCTCAATCCGGGAGTCAAGGCCGTGCTGTCGAGGAAGGCCAGCACCACTCCTGCCGTTCCCCCCAGTGGAGTGGTTGCAACAGAGCTGGACTGGTCTGCACTCCCAGTCTTCTGTCCGCCAAAGTCCAAGTGGTCACAGAAATACTGCTCGTCTATGATATACACACGGCTTTCGATGGAGCAGCGCTCACAATTTAAGCGCAACTCTGCAGTTGCACTTGAATAGAAGCCGTTGTACCAAGTCTTGTTTACAGGAGAGATGTAAATTGGCAAGTCGGCGTTGCCCCAGGGCAAGTGAGTGTTGCTGCCATCCAAATCAGTACACAATGAGTAGTGCTTTCCAGGCGTCATTCCTTCTGCATCCAACATTACCTCATAATCGTCTGTGGGCAAGGTGCTGGGCTTAGTGAAACTGCCATGAGCTGTCCTTTCGCCTGTGACAGCTTTCATCTCTCCATTGCTGACTGTCTCGTCGCAGTAGCTTCCCACGTAGGCCGCCGATGCATCAGAGCAACCAGTTGGGCAGGTCATCACCACAGTCTGATTTTGAGCTGGCAGTATTCCCCAAGGATTGATAGCAGTCATGGTGGTGACATAAACGAAAAAGGAAGTGTCTCCCATCCCCATCTTGGCATTGGAGCCATCCAAGTCCATACAGAGATGATACACTCCGCCCAGATCTAACTCTCTCGCATCGATGTAGAGCTTTGTGGCATCAGCGCTGGTCACCCCACCAGGGCCTGGCAAGCGATTGGTGGGCGAATTCACACCCGCAGTCGCTGGCAGATCGAAGCCAAAGTAAAGCGTTATGTCACACTCTAAGGAGATGTAACCTTGAGTGATGTCATTGCCAGGATTGCAATACGGGCAGGTGAGCTGGATCTCTTGAGCAAACTCTTGACGTATAGCAGAGGGTGAAATCCCTTCTAACCCACTCACATAGATCATGAAGCCTGTGTCCCCAAAGCCAAGGGTAGACACTGCACCGTCCATGTCAACACAAATACCATAGTATCTGCCCGCAATGAGTGAAGTTGCATCGATGTTCTCGATGGCCCACAAGTCTCCGCTCTTGTGCACCAAAGATACTGAGCCCGTGTTCTCGTTCCCATAGGAGGCCATGTAGCCCTCCGTCACAGAGCTGTCGCATTCCTTGACAAAGAGGTTCGAAGGCGTATTCGATCGCAACGCAAGGTAAGCACGAGCAGTTTCACTGCAGCCTGTCGCACATCGCACATAAACTGTCTGAAGCTCCGCAACGTTGATGCCTTTGGTGACAACCTCACTGAAAGGGGAGGTGTAGATCCGAAGAGCTGTGTCACCAAACGGATATGGCCCAGCGCCGTCTACATCAGCGCACACATGGAACTGGCGTCCTGGAGCCAGACTTGTCGCATCTACCGCCCAAGTCCACAAGTTGACTGCCGTTCCTGCAGCGATTGCAGTCGCAATCGTTTGGCGTTCGATGTCCTCTCCAGAGAGGACTTCTGGATCTCCGTTGGTAATCAAAGCGCTGCACGATGTGGAGGTCAAATAAAGCATCGTACTCGTGGAGCACGGATCACATATAACTTCAAGCTGCTGATTTGTGGCCCGAGCAACTCCCGAAGGAGTCACAGCAGTGACCCCAGTGACATAGATGGGGACACCCACATCGACAAAGCCTTGAGCATTTGGCCCATCTTCATCAATGCACGCTCTATAAAACTTCCCCTGCACAAGCCCGGTGACAACCAGTGGAAAGCTTATCACACCGTTGACAACACCAAGCACTGTCTGCTCCACCGTATTTCGTTCACCCGCGCTCGAGCTGAATGCTGTGCTGCATTCTGCTCCCACATAGGCATATGCATTCGGTAGCGATCCATCAGAGAGATCTGTGGTAAGTTCCAAGTCCGTAGCCCCACCCACATGGAAGGTGGCGCTCACAACTCCCGTAATGGAGGTGATTTGAACGGTCAGCCCAGTATCCACGAAGGCCAACTCCCTGCTCAAACCGTCTAAGTCCACACAGAGTTTGTAATCCTTTCCAGTTGTCATTGATGTGGCATCAATGATGGCATCCCATTGAGAGCCAGCTCCTGTGAGCAACACTGAAGATGTTGAGGTGGGTGCAGTTCCTAGATGTAATCCGGTGTTTTCGCTGCTGCACGCAGAGCCGGTGTCAAGTAGGTAGAGAGCCGTGGAGCGGCTACAGCCACTGCAAGACAAAGGCAAACGCTGAGACGGAGCACCCACGATGGAAACCACTTGCACTGAAGTGGGACCAGCAGTTCTCAGACTGAGACCCGTGTCCCCGGCCAACAGGACAGACGCTCCTGCGCCATCAATGTCTGCACAGATTTTGTAGAGGCCAAAGGACAGTGAGCTTAAATCCATCGTCACCGACCAAAAGCGGCGAAAGCCTGTCAATGCTGCACGAGGTGCACCAGTTCGGTCAGCACAATCCAGCGCCAAGAAAAGTTCTGTTGAGGAGGTGCAGCCAGGCACACAAGTGATCGAGAACTCCTGCGAAGAGGAAGGCTGCACCATGAGCGGCTGAACCTCCTGGATTGGAGATACGAAGACTGTCTCTCCAGTGTCCTCGAAAGCTGCAGTGTCAACCCGGCTCAGGCACACACTATAGTGCATGCCTGCCGTGAGACTGCTTGCGTCTAAGCGAGCCCATCGGACACCCGCCTCCTGGCCAAGCCGCAAATGCGTGGCAGCACCGCCTGGGCTGGCACAGTCGCGGGCAAGCTTCAGTTCGAGGAGAGTCTCGCAGGCCGCGCCACAATAAAACTGCACATCTTGATTTCTTCGCGGCAGCACTGCCGCAGACGTCAGATTCCATACAACCACGTGCGCACAGCACGGCAGCCATGTGAAAGCAAGCCAAAAGACCTTCTTTGGGCCTCTGCCAGGCAACATGGCCCACATTAGCCTGTGGCCCCTTGAGGGCCCTCGCAGCTTCAAATGGCTACGGCCAGCCAAGAACACCTTCCACTCTTCCCTCCCTCCCTCCCTCCCTCCTTCCCTCCTTCCCTCCTTCCCTCCTTCCCTCCTTCCCTCCCTCCCTCCTTCCCTCCTTCCGTCCTTCCCTCCCTCCTTCCCTCCTTCCCTCCTTCCCTCCTTCCCTCCTTCCCTCCTTCCCTCCTTCCCTCCTTCCCTCCTTCCTTCCTTCCTTCCTTCCTTCCTTGATTCAGTGTCGTTGTGTACCATCGGCCACCACAACACCCCCCACCTGGCAAGGAATGGGCCTTGAGATGCTTGATCCGGACCACTGGAAAGTGCTCCTGCAAGTCCAGATCTATGCAGCAGACTTCCAAGCGTAAAAAAGGTGGGACATGGTGTCCTTTGAAGCCTCTCTCTGCAGCAACTGGCCTTGCAGACTCATGCCATTCGTGCCACTCGCAGAGTTTTTCGTCAAAGTAGAACAGTTGACATCACCGCACCTCTAGCTGCCGGTGTCTTCACATCCTCAAAGACATCTATACACACTACATATTATGTATAAATAATACGTCAAGTGTGTGTGTGTGTGTGCGGAGAGCTTGGTTCTAAAGATGCACATTGATTTCATTCAAATTCTTACATTTGCTGGGTTGGCGGCAAAGTGAGCATACACTGGCTTGTGATCGCTGCTGCTGACTTGCTCTGCAGAGGAAAGCAATCGCTGCACCGCATTCCCCTGCATTCAACAGCAAAACGAAGACCTGAAGTCCTTCAATCAGGCCTTCCACAGAAAGAATATGAAAGAATCATGTGGGTCTGGGTGAAAACAAAAAATCCCAAAACCATTTTGGGGGGTCAATGGGGATAGTCACCATCGCCTGTTTAGCTCACGGTGCGCAAGAGTGAAACAAACCTTGCCTGCGAAATGAACTAACATACAGACATCAGAGTATATGTAGTAGGATTCACATTGTCTGCTTCTTCTTGAACCGGAACCGCTCCTCTAAGGCTTCAGTGGACTTCCAAAGGATCCGATCGCAGTAGGACGGAGTCCTTTCCTTGCTTTAGCAGAGTTCGGCGCGTGGCGGTTCGAGGAACACATTATGAGCTCACATGTCTTGTGTTGGCAAGTCTCAGATTGATGACTTACACCAGGTTGTCTTTCTACCTTGAAGGTGGGTGCAAAATCAGCTTGCCCCTCGTTGAAGCCAGCAAAGGCCTTCGCAAAGAAGACTGATCTACAAAAATCGCATCAGCGAGTCAGCGGATTATACATTTCTGTGGAGACGTGTGGATACATATTGCCTTTCCAGCATCTCTGAAGCGGCGAAGCTGATCATACTTCATAAGCTCCTGAACGCAAAGCGGCAGCTAAAAGAAATCTGAAGCGGACACACCAAAGCAACGCTAAAGCGAGCAAAACCCGCCTCAAACTCTCTCTTGTCAATCATCTCGCAGACCGCGGAAAAATCATCCGGCCGCGAAGGAGCACTGGGTGCAAGTGAGTCCTTTCCAAGACGTACAAACCTTTCATGAGGACGTCACTCATGTCAGTTGTCCTTGGGTGGTGACACACCACGCTGCTTTCCCAAGGCCAGAGTTGGTAGCTCCTGGCAGTGAACCCCAAACTATGTGGTTTCTGCCGCCACACCGTCAAAGCAATCCGCACCATGAGCCTCGTCCACTGAGAGATCCAGTCTGTAGTTTAGATCGCCAAACCAAAAGCAATGGTCAAACCTCAGTGGTTCCACTGCAGTTTGTTCCGTTTCAACGCTTGCGTACTGCGTACTGAGGACGTCAACGAAGGAGGACAGGGCTCTGAGGCTTGGACTGGGTCACGATATCTAAATCGGGGTGGCAAACTGGCCATGTCTCTTGCAAAATCTCCCGACAATCATTATTGCGCTTCTCAGCAGCACTCCTGGCAGATTAACACGGACTCGGGATTCACATGGATTGCATTACACTCAAAAGCAGCTATATCGGCTCCAGATCGAACTGAGTGTCAGGCGTGTGGGCCGCCAAATGGCAGCTTACAAAGCACAAGCTCACTGGGCCAAACTGAAGCGTGGCGACGAGGCCACCTTTGTTGCCAACCTGCGTGGTCACGCGTGTCGCGCACCGTAGCTGCCGAGGCGCTGGACTTCTTTCTAGGCGTGATTTGCATCAGCATGGGCAAGCAAGAGTGCTTTTGGCATGATTCTTGAGGAAAGAACTCAGTGTAACATGACGTACCAGTTGATGATGCAAGTAGTGTTGCAAAAATATTGTAGCATTTCTTGCATTACGACTGCCACTATCTTTGGGAGCTTCAATAAGTGCGTGATATGAGATGGAATAGGAGAGCGGGGGGTCTCAAACGTACGAGAGATCGAGCAAGCGCCCAAGAGGAACAAGGTCTCAAAGTGCGTCTCAAGAAGCAATTTTGTTTAGTGTGCCGGAGACCTCAAAACCTCAATCACATTGGCAGTAAGATTGAAAGCGAGGCAGCGGGTGGCTACCACAAGTCTATATCCAATGAAATTTCTCTGAGTGCACTTGTGGATGTCTTTGCAAGAATTGGCGGATGGTTGGATAATGACGCTGTAACAATGAAATGGATGAACCAGTGCATCATATCCCTACCACAAATCTGTATCCAGCCAAAAAGTTGTTGGTACCGCCACAAATTACAGCGGGTGAAGGTTCCAAAGTGCAGCTTACATGGTTCATTAATGTTTCCATGATTTGGCACCTCAACAATGTGATATGTCAAGTTGTGTACACAAAAGATGTAATGTTACACATTGCAGGTCCCAGCAATTTCACGCAAAAGCCTGGGTCCTCAATAATGTAACCTTACAGTTTCATGGGAATCACATGTAAAGAAACAATTACAATTATATATATATATATAAGTGAATTAAAGGAATGACGAAAGAGGAACCTCCAAGCATGTAAGTTATACGTTTGGGGGATGGCTGGGAAACATGTACCTTGCATTATCGGAGGTTCCTCTTTCTTCATTATTTCATTTGTTTCCTGTTTTCCTTTAGACCTGTCTTTCTTTCCTCCGTGTTTTGGTTGTTTCTTCCTTGTTTCCTTTGGACCTTTCTTCCTTTTGTTTCTTCCTTTCTTTCTAGTTGCCATTTGACCGCAGGCACGGGTCACACATGAACAGTGCAGTATGCATCTTAAGCTGTCTAGTTTCCATATCTTTCCTTTGGGCATCCAGATACGTACCACAGTTTTGGAGGCCTCTGAAAATTGGTTCTGGCAATTACAAAATGTGACAAAACAATGCAAATCCCACTCATCTCCAGCGGCTTCAGGGGGTGCAGAAATGCAACTTGCAAGGTGGGAGGTCTGATTTTGTTGAGCTCCCTCCCCAAAAAGATACTGGCGGGGTATTCAACTTAACTTTTCTGGGCCTCCCAAGCCCAAAACCAAGCGAAAATCACGTTCTTGCACTGCCATAAAGAAGAGCCCACCATATAGGGTGAAAAAAAAGAGAGAGACAGAGACAGAGAGAGAGAGAGAGTTTCTTGTTCCCAGTTCCTGCAGACTTGAATTCCTACAAATATAGAATCGCGTGTCATTTGTCTTCAAGTAAAAGAAAATGTAGACTCGACCATCTTCAAGAGCTTGGAACAAAATGACTGCAACGAAAGTTTCACTTCAGTAGTGAAATAGTAGTGAACGGACTGTTCAAGGTCTGTACCAAACATAGCATCCAATAATCCAATGGTCCAAGATTCACCGTTACACTGCTGAGGTCTGCACAGTACCTGCCAGCAGACCCGTCGCTGAGTATGTGTGCTGCACTGAGTGGATAAGTGGACCATCTTGCCATTTGATTGTCCCATCACCTGCAGTTGCCACGCAACTAGGAGCATTCTTGCTACTAGGGGCTCCTGGTGTCGCTACTAGGAGCAAAGACGCGACTGGGGAGTTAAAACATCGGTCCGATCCATCTAGGCTGAAGTAGCAGTGCACAGTATGCACTTCAGAATCCTTTGAAGCCTGCCCAGTCACAATATTGCGTTTTGGCAAAAACCAGCAAGCGCATATTCATCAACACCACCTGAAAGGGCACGCAAGAATCGACCACTCTTCTTGTCAAGCCTCCCAAACGTCAGAGTTTTGTGACACAAAATGAACAAAGTCTCTCACCTGCTGTACTCGAGCAAATCCATCTCCTAATCTCTCAGCCAGAATATCGTCCCAGTGAAAAGAGAATTTTTCTTCTCCAACATCCCTGCTCTTCCGTCTCTCTGGACGCTCAGAACGAGGAGAACTCCCGAAGGCGTGCAAGGCTTCCTCCACAGCACCCGACAACATGGGCAGCTGCGTTTTGCCACTTCCTTTCAAGGACTTCCGTCGCTTGGGATTCCGCATAGGTGTAGCAACCCACTCAGAAACCCAATCGTAGCTGCATTCTTGAACACCAACAACCACGAGGTCAAACTCACCTGGCTAGGGAGCATAGAGATTTCTTGAAAAGGAATGAAGAAGTTTCACATCTGAATCAGGATAGCTAAAACGTAGGTCAACCAAACCACGTTGACAGCTAGAAGGACTGCATGGGGCCGGCCTCCTCCGCTAGGCAACCAACACTTCAGCTCTTCCTCTGAGGGCTTTGCATCTCCCATATTCCATGTGAAGCAAAGAACCTCAAACTTAGCAAAGAACCAACTTCCAAACGTCTTTGGTTCAGTTAAACTTAGCTGTGGCCTTCCAGATCAAATGTGGATTTCACCAGCAGCAAAAGGAGCAGCCCCATCATACAGCTTCGAAAGCGGCATGCATGAGTCGAATGAAAGCAAATCTGCTGTGTTTGACATTGTGCAACAAAGGGCATGGGGCAAAGGAGAGGACTCGAGACAACTCAATGGAAACTCTTCCAGATTTGACTGGGCACCTTGATGTGTTCCCATGCATTCTGCACATCGACAACCAGCGACTCCTCTGACGAAACGGGACATCCCACCTGGGCAGGCTTTGCACACTCAAATGCCCATCGGGGCCGACTCCAAGTTCTTTTCTTTCCAAAGATTGGTTTTACAAGCCCTGGATTCTTTCTCCATCAGCAAGAAAAAAAGGAGTCAAGAAAAGCATAGCTTCCTCGCAGCACAGACTTTGCAGAATTGGGTGTTCAACTATCGCTGCAAACAAGGAGCTTGAGGATCAGCTGGCCGCTGTACTTGAACAGAAGCAATGGTCGCGGGTCGCGGCATACATCCGCATGTGTTGTAAGGGTGCGTTCGAAGTTTCAAGTTGTAGGCAGAGTTTGGATATTGACTCGAAGACTTGAAGTCTATGAATTTCGTGTGGGGGGCGGGTCTTCATGTTGTCGCCTGCAACAAATTGCTGGGCGAGTTGTCACCAAACATTCAAAGAATGGGTGGATGGTGTCCCAAGTTTAATCTTGGAGCCTTATTGGCTTCAGATCAAGCGTCCAAGTATGATCTCAACAAACGCCTCTGAATCATTCCACAAGTTGAGACAAACTTGAAGTGAAAGCTGCAACAAGCGTCCTCCTCAGAATGTGCAAAGGGGCAATTGGAGCCCATGCTGCACTTTTGCTTCTTGTTGAAAACCTTGGCGGATGGTTGATTTGATTGTTTTATTCCCAGTGCTGTCAGGTGCGTTGAAAGTGTTGACAGGTTTGTATGATGCCAACAAGGCTGGTCGCGCGCGTGACTTCGGAACATTGGGCCACGAACACATAGCTTGGTTTTGTGAAACTGCTCCTTGATCTGCGGAGAGAACTTGCTGTTCAACCTCAAGATCTCGAATATTGCTGGAGTATCCAAGCTTGGAGCAAGAGTGTTGAAGGCTATCAACAAGTGCAGAAACCACATCGATCTGGCAGTGGGTCAAAGCAGGGCGACCCTGGTTGACCACCGAAAATGAACAGAATAGACTACTAAGGAGATCAACCTATCAGGGTTTGGAGCTCCAGGTTGTGACCCACTGCCATCTCTCCTCTGGGATCGAGACATGTTCGGATCCTCAGACCACTGTGCCACAGCGGACGGGAACACCAAAGGACCATTGATCATGTCCTGCGGACGGGACGCATTGATTCCCCCGTGTGAGGTGATCCGTCCGGACGATGTGAAGCCAAAGGACAGGGACGAATCGGTGGTCCCAAGTCTGACGACCGTCTGACCGTCTAGTCAGACCGTCGATGACCGTCGAACCAGAAGGAAGTGTTGTTTTTTCCACTGGAACCGCTCCTCGGCCACTCCAAAGGATGTCCAATAGGCCACATTGTTGTCCAAGCCCTGGATGGGAAAGAAGGACACGTTGCCCTGCCCAAAGGAGCACTAGTGGCACAGGCTTCTTCCACGAATGCCTGGTTGGAAAACACAGATTGCTCTGAGTTGATTACAGGCCATCCTGGCAGCAGCAGCAGCAACGGGCAGTAACACCACTGGCAACTGGCAACCGCACCAAAAGCAGCATCAACAACCAACAACATCTGGTCGGCGCAGCGAAAGGTCTTGGAAGCTCCGACGAAGTCCGGGGAAGATATTTGCTGCCAAGGCTAGAACCCATTTAAGATCACGTTGTGTTTACCAGTACCTAGAAACTTCAGCTCCAGGTGGTCCTTTGCCATTCCCGTGTCTGGAGCCACCGTCAGGCATGAGCGACCACGGACGCGCGAAGGAGCCGAACCGAACGTGTGAAACCCGTGCAAAAACACAAATCTCCGTATTGGACCAAAAGTCTGGCCTCACCGGACTGCTCAAAAAACTGCTGGCACATGATCCTTGGAAGAAGCTGAAGAACCGATGCGTTTCTCTTCAAAATCCCAAGCCAATTCGTCTTGTCTCAAAAGATGACAACAACTTCCCCCCTCGTCAACACAAGAGAACCCTAAACGCTAAACCCCTTAGGGGCGAAAGGATCCATCTGATGATCGTCCTTCCACAAGACTCCCATGGAGCCCTTTTCGGCACTCGGCCGAGTGGCACAAAGCTGGGATCCACGAAGTTCACCACGGCACAGTTGCCATACTCTTCTTGCCTGCGAAGAATAAGGGGGGAAAGCGAAAGGCGAAAGGCGTTCGGCCGTGAAAGGAAAGGTTTGCTCGGTTGGGCAACTCAAGTTCCAACAATCCCACCTCTCGGGTGGCATATAAAAGAAGTTATACGCGAAGCCACATGCATCCAGCTGAAGCCTGCAGCTCAAGCCCAGCGCAAAGAACTTGCACCATGAACCACAATGAGCCTCAACGACTGCGCGTCAAGATTCGCGATCTCAGCAATGACCACCTTGGCCCGGCCGTTTCATGAGGTAATGAGATGATGCCAAAAAATTAAGGTCAAAGCAGTGGTCAAAGGCAACGCTTGGGAGTCTTCGGCCTGAAAAGAACACATTCCAAGTTCCAAGTGTTCGTTTTCAGTATATACCCAGACACTTACGACTTCTGTTCCCGAAATGTCCGTCCCCGAAATGGCCGTCCGGCTGCCTCTTTCCGTCCTCGTCGTCCCCGTCGGGACTTCTTGGTTGGGACCGGCTCGGAGGCCATGGCCATGGCATAGCCGGACGCCAGCACCGCCTCATGGCCGTGGCGCGGAAGTTACGCGCGCATTGCGGCGTGTGCTGGATTCCTGGCCTGGAATGGCGTGGTCATTGACATCGGGACAAACTCTGGAGCATCAGCTTTGAATGACCTTGGAGAAATGAGAAAGATTGTTTTTTTATTTTCTAACGGGGGTAGGCCGCGAGAAGAGGTAGTAGCTAGGACGCAGGATAGCTCACGCTCCTTCAAGGAAGGTCCCCCGCCGCTTCCCCCGCCTGAGGGCGGGGGGAGCTTCCTTGAAGAAGCGCTCGAACTAATGGTTCCTGGATTTTTAAACTTGACGCGAAGAAAAGTCCTAGTGGGCAGGCGAAATCATGTCTGGGGCGAGGGCACGAATGCAGATTCTGCCTAGCACCACATCGCAGCCATTCATGCGCTTACAACTTATAACCTACAACAAATATAACAAATATAGAGATTTAAAAAAATAAAGCATCACAGCGGCCTCCTCCTCCACTGGCCTCAAAAATGCTAACTCAATGTGTAACATGTGTGTGTGTGTGTCCAACTTGTGCAACTCGTGGAACTACTTTGAGTTTTGTTTTTTCCATGTGACCTCAGGTCGCAAAAGTGGGACTCTCCATCCACCTTGCCTCGCCGGTCTTCCAGCCACCAAATCCGCAAAGCTTCGGACCAGCTGGCAGTGCGTCGCAGTGTGCTAAAGCTATGCGCTATGCGGACTAAGGAGCTCAAGGAACTCAAGGGACTATGCCCTTAACAGGTACAGAATTGCAGAATTTACATTCTGCTCTTTCGACTTCTCGTGGCCCACCTTGGGTTCTTCCGGCTTCACGTCGGCATTTTCTTCCTCTGCAGACGAATCCTCCGCATCTGCCTCTGCTGCTTCTGCCTTTGCTTCTGGCTTCACCTCTTCCACTGCAGCCTCCGGAGCAAGTGATGTATCAGGAACATCTTGCTGTTGCTCCTGACTCCAGCCACAGGACGTCACAGGTTCATTGCTGCCAACTGTGGCACTGGACCTAGGAACTGTTACAAATGGTTGGAAAAATAATGACAAAAAAAGCGACGCCGTCCTCTTTAAAAGGAAGCCGTTTGCTAGGTACGACTGCAGCTTCTGGCTTCTCTTCTTTCGGCTTTGCAACTTTTGGTCGATCTTGTCGTTGCCGCAGCCGCTGCTTCTGACGCTTCGATAGAATAGGACCCGTTTCATGAAGATCATCTGGAGCTGCGGCCACTGCGTTCTCTCGTAGATCGTCCGACACTTGCTGAGGATCCGGTTCTGCTGCAGGTTCCTGTCCAAATCAAGCAAAAATGCTTGTGATGACCTGATGTGCTCATGAAAATCACCCGCCTGCTCACTCGGCATTTGTCCTGACTCACTTGGGCCCGAGAAGGTCCGCTCTGGTGCATCGCCTGCAAAATGGATGGAGTAAGAACGGCGGTTGGGTTGTCAAGGCAGCTGCGGCCTCTTCGCTTCACGCGCGATCTTGATGAACAGCTTTTGGTCCAGCCGTCTTCGACCTCGCATGAGCAAGCCACTGATCAAACCGAACAGCAGCTTGATGACGAACATTCCAGCCTCTGGTGTGTCTTCGTCCTGCGTAGGGCAAAGGCCATTTGAAGCAAGACTTTGGTGACTTGAGTTTGACTTCAAACTTCTCCCTCTCGTTTCCCTTTTGTATCCCTGTTGTTTGCCGCCTCATTCGCCAACTTGTCAGGCACAGGGCTGAAGTTCTCCTGCCAAGGCTGCCATTCCGCCAAAAAGGCTACACACTCTCCTGAAGTCAGATTACATAGCTACCCATGAGACCATTAGGCGCAGAGTCGAGAAGTCTGCGAAGAATCCGCATTGGCTTCAAATGAAGTTTGCTTTTCTGACTGCGAGTCCGCATCTGGGACCCGCAGCTCGGCCTCGGCTGAGCCTCGAACGCCCCCGGCCTTGTCTGGGAGAATCTGCGAGTCCATCGAGTCGGCTTTTTGGACACCGTCCGAGTCCTGAGACCGGACGCGACAGCCGCGGCCGAACGCGACTGGTCAGCCGCCCGTTCGTTGGCTGCCTCCTCGTCGTCTTCGGGCTTCTCAGGATCGACCTGCAAAGTCATGACTGATGTAAATCGTGCTTGTCCAAAATTGTGCTCATTGTGGTCACTGCAACGCCGGATGCAGAATGCAGGCAGCAAGCAAAGTATAAAGCTTCGAGGGTTTGACCTCCTCTTCACGTCTGGCATCTGATGTCGCAAGCAGGAACATTCCATGAATAGCCTGGCATGGCTGAATGCTACAGTAGTTGCTGCTTTGGGAGGGCGTTTTCCTTCAAGAACACAACAGAAACAACAATTCTGTCTACAGCAAGGCCTCACTGAAGAGACGGTCTGCTTCCTGGCTACTTGTGCCTCATCAAGGGGAATGTCAAACTCAGAAGCCTCTGGAGGCTTGCCCACCCAAAGCCAGGGCCTTGTGCTTTGCTGTCTTTCTCCTGAAGAGCTAGTGCCCAGCCGTTTCCCCCAAACAAACCCTAGAGACAAACATAGCATATATGTGTTCTTATATGCTTTTAATGATCTATATCAAGATACCCAACCTTTGCCTAGGCTATGCCTTTTCAAGGTTACAACTATGTAAAGCTCTGTGCTGTGATCTTGCTCTTCTATGTCCGGCCTTTTTGGCAGGGTGCACCACACTGTCCTGGTCAAACCCGATTCCCTTTTCTCCAGATAGAGCTTGATTGTCATATACCCTTCAAAAGGATCATTGACGCATATTGACACCGCTCCCCGCCTCCACATCCTCATTGTCAGCCTCTGGTGAAAAGCCTGACGAATCCAAATCACATGTGAACGAGGATATCAATGTTTTTCTTACTGCCCTACAGGTAGGAAACATACAACCTACAGGTTGGACGGCTTTTCGCGGAGACAACTGTGCTGACATTGCCTGCAGCGACTTTGGCACGCCTCACAGTCAGCTACTCGCTCGAGCCTAGACTCGTTCGTTTAAGTACAACTGTTCTTTTGCCCTGGCTTTGCCCTTCTTTTTGTCGAACCATGTCGAACCCATCTGCAAGACTTGATCAAATTCATTTGAGCCTGGCTTTTGCTGCATGCTTTCGCTCCCTGCGCTGTGCTGCCGCTTTCTCCTTGGCCTTGTCGGAAGCTTTCGCTTCAGGCAAACAAGTCTTTCCCTGTAGTTTATTCTTGTTACCTGCTTTTAACGGACACCATCAGGTCAGCCGGGTATCAAATTAACAAGTCCGATCCGTGCCACATGTGTGAGACTATTAATCCTAAAACTACCCTGTTAATTCCATACTACCAAAACAGGGCTTCAAAGTGTACAGAAATGGCAGGGTCTGGCATCTAGTCACTGTTAGACTTCAAGAAAACGCACGAACTGTTTTCAAGTGTCAGCAAAATTGGAAGCTTAATCTCATCGGAAGTGAACAACCATTCTAATTTATCAAACACCTCTTCTTCGATGGCCTGGCCTCCTTTTCCTTGGCTTCCTTTTGCTCCATGAGGTCAATCCAAGATTCATCCACCTCAGCCTGCCACCGACCGTCTTCGACCCCCCAAGCAACACCGCGGAGCACCGCAGAGGTGCCGCCTCGGCCACGGTCGCCGGCGGGGTGGCTTTCTCGGCCGCCTGGGCCTTTCGACGAAAACATGTTGATCACTGTGGTTGGCAAAGCATCTGGGAAGCACCGAACAAAGCTGCTGGCCCAGGGGGACTTCGAATGTGTTCGGGCCAAAGAAAATGAAAGAGGAGTCCCTGAACTCTGATTCTGGCAATGAAATGCGTTGGCCCCTCAGCTGTTAGCTCTTTCGCGCCTTCGCCTCTCTGCGCTGCCGCAGTCGCTGCACAGCACTCGTGGGTCTGGCAAAGTTTGGCACGGCAGTGTAGCCAAAGTGCAAGGGTTCTTTGTCATTCCCAAGCGTTGTAAAAGTTAGAAAGAAATATGCCGACTCTTCTTTTGAAAAGTTAGAGATAAGCTCGGAGGCAACACGGGAGCGTGTCATTCTTTGCATATCGAGCCTCGGAAAGGGATTCCAAGACGATATGTGGTGTGTCAATCGTTTTCAAGGTTTCTTGGCAAACAGCGCTTGTCATGGTGCTTGAAGCTTGCATTCTCTAATGTGACTTGGAAGAACTAGGACCGAAGAGACAATACACAAACTCACTTGCATGTCTGTAAATCCGTTGACTCCACAGCATTAGCTGGAAGTGTCAGGCTATCTTCACCGAAGCTTCATACACAAAGTTCTTTAAAAGCCATTGTTGTGACTTGTTACGAAAACACTTGCCAAACTTCCTTTAGGGTTCCCAATTTCCGGTGCATTATTGATTTTTCAAATGCAAATGTTGCTGTTGCACTTGCTGAGGCACTAAGCCCTTGTTGACCATCCTACAGCATTCGTTTCTTATGCTCTTTGTCACGTCCCGTTCACTTCCCCGTTGACTTCTTTGAATGGAAAGTTGTCTGTGTTGTGGGCATGACGCATGGGAGAAAGAAGCTCTTTCCTGGCTTTGAGGAAAAAGTTTGCGTCTACAAATTTGGATTAGATACCATTATGCTAGTGACTAGTTTTCCTACATCTCATCCAAGTTGTGCAACGAAAGCAAAGATGCTTGCTGAGGCACTGATTGTCGTTGTGCAGAAAGGCTGGGGACAACGCAATTCATCCATTCCTGTGCGACTGCAAGGAACCACTTCGTGGATGGGAGCTTGGGACTTGATTGCAGTGACTACTCTCTGTATACTGTCTGCTACTCTCACACTTGCTGACTGATTTCACTACAAACTGTAAACCAGCATGATGTCCAGCAACTGTTAGTTCGAAGACCCCGCCCACGCAGCCCACGCCTGATTGTTCACATTCACGTTGATGGGATCCCAGGACAAGCTTTCCTGGGTGTGCATGTCCTGCGCCGGCATAGGCAGGCGGCAGGCGTGTGCACCAAAGTTCGCTTAGCAAACCAAGTCCGGCCTTCTCAGCTCCGCTCACCGCAGCCCCAAAAAGCGGCCTTAGTAGTAATGCCCTTGTTACTAGTAGTAACGCCCTTGTCACTAGTAGTAATGCCCTTGCTACTAGTAGCGACGCCCTTGTTACTAGTAGAAATGCCCTTGTTACTAGTAGCGATGCCATTGTTACTAGTAGTAATTCCCTTGTTACTGGTAGTAATGCCCTTGTTACAAGTAGCGACGCCCTTGCTACTAGTAGTTATGCCCTTGTTGCTCGTAGGAATGCCCTTGTTACTAGTAGCGACGCCCTTGTTACTAGTAGCGATGCCCTTGCTACTAGTAGTAGTGCCCTTGTTACTATGCCATTGTTACTAGTAGTAATTCCCTTGCTACTAGTAGTCATGCCCTTGTCACTAGTAGTAATTCCCTTGCTACTAGTAGCAATGCCCTTGTTACTAGTAGTAATTCCCTTGTTACTAGTCGCGATGCCCTTGTTACTTGTTACTAGAAATGCCCTGGTTAGTAGCAGTAACGCCCTTGTTACTAGGAGTAATGCCCTTGTTACTAGTAGGGATGCCCTTGTTACTAGTAGAAATGCCCTTGTCACTACTAGTAGTAGCCCTTGAAAATAGTAGCCATGCCCTTGTTACTAGTAGTCATGCCCTTGTTACTAGTAGCAATGCCTTTGTTACTAGCGGCGATGCCCTTGTTACTAGTAGCAATGCCTTTGTTACTAGTGGCGATGCCCTGGTTACTAGTGGCGACGCGCTTGTTACTAGTAGCGACGCCCTTGTTACTAGTAGGAATGCCCTTGCCCTTGTTTTAGTAGCGATGCCCTTGATACTAGTAGTCATGCCCTTGTTACTAGTAGTAATGCCCTTGTTACTAGTAGCGATGCCCTTGTTACTAGTAGTAGTGCCCTTGTTACTAGTAGTAGTGCCCTTGTTACTAGTAGTAGTGCCCTTGTTACTAGTAGCGATGCCCTTGTTGCTAGTAGTAACGCCCTTGCTACTAGCAGCGATACCCTTGTTACTAGTAGCGATGCCCTTATTACTAGTAGCGATGGCCTTGCTACTAGTAGCAACCCTTGTTAATAGTAGGGGTGCCCTTGTTACTAGTAGCGATGCCATTGATACTAGTAGCGATGTCCTTGTTACTGGTAGTAATGCCCTTGTTACAAGTAGCGACGCCCTTGTTACTAGTAGTTATGCCCTTGTTAGTACTAGTAATGCCCTTGTTACTAGCAGCGATGCCCTTGTTACTAGTAGCGATGCCCTTGCTACTAGTAGCGA